TACACGGTGTCGAATCGATATGTCAATTGCAAAAAAATCCCTCAACGAAGAGTTTGCTCTAAATTAGGAATTGAATTGAAAACAAAATCCAGAGTAGAGCGGATGCGGATTAGAAAGGAATGAACGTCTCTGGCTCTCCGCTATGACAATCTAGAGCATCTATTTCGAAAGCATTGAACGAACTCAATTTCTAAATCTGATCTTTGAACGTGAAGCTTTGAACGAGTGTTGTTGTTGCCAGACGTATATGAACTGGCGCCACGTGTGGTTGTCGATGAGTGCGCTGCCAGTACCAAACTTGCATTGTCGTCTCAGCAGAGCAGAACCTACTAACATTGGAGACAGAGATATGTAAAAACTAATTTTTTAAAATGTAAATTTATTTGTAAACTGAGTTATATTTTGACTGTTTACCATCGGCGTTCATAAAATTTTGAAACAATGCATATGCTTAATTTGCGTTCAGAAATTGTATGTTTACCCTAGAAAAAAATATGTTCTTGATTGCCACTATGAACAAGAGACATCTAAATAATCCTTTTACAAATCTAATGTACTAGTATAAAATTGAAACATTTTGTCCACAGTCCACTTTTGATCCACCTTTTTATTTATAGTCACCTAGTCATTCACCTGGCAGAGCACTGTGGCAATGGGAAAGCTTTTCAGCTTGGGTGGAAAGCTTTTTAATAAGTGAACTTCCGATTCTTAGAATTCCAGCCTGGGTACAGCGTACAGTCATATAGCCTGATAGTGATACTGTTTGAGGTAGGTATGTACCCCTGTCCCCTTCTCGCACTTGAGAGTAAACATGTTAAACATTCTAAGAAGGTAAAAACTTTTCCTACTTCTACCACTCCTAGGTTGTAAGGTTGAGATTCTTGAAGGCTTTGAAGCAATATGTTCCTAGTTCCATTTGCTGGAACTAGAAGTTTGGAACTGGAAGTTGATTTAACATAATGGCCACAGAGAACATTTTTTGTTGCCCTTACACACCTTTCTCAAATTCATTCTTGTCAACAAATCCTATGGCTAAAAGTTATACCTAACTAACAGCTTACAGCAGACCCAAGTCCCAACAAATCCTATAAGTTATAACTAAAAGCAGACCAGCACCAGCATGATGCAGCAAAAGCAGCATCTTGGATAGGTACCACTCATACCTGCCCTGGTAGGCTGGACTACTAAGTGGTAGTGGGCTGGCGCTGGTACAAGCATCATCATGGCAGCATCATCATACACAAGATAAATTGCTTAAAATATTGAGTAGATAGAGAAATTAAAAATGACCCAATTCTCAAATATCTTTAGTTAGTTTGCCACTACGACTGGTGCTAGTGGTTTGTTACTATGGGCTGAGACCGCTGAGTATGGGGTCATGTCGCTACGAGTATGACAAGGTTAGACTAAAATAGTGCGTGGCTTCCGCGTGATGCGTTCTCACCGAGGAGCGAGGACCGAGCCATCAAACAAGTTAAGATGAACCATGCGTGAGCAAATGAAAACAAAAAATGCACGAGTACTCTTGTAAATGTTTAAAGATTCTACAGGCTAAGATTATAGTTCCAGGTTGACAATTCACCAGCAGCTTCTGAACTGCTTCGTTGAGCTGGCAGCCATTTTGCCTTTGCACGAGTGTGTAATCGGCGGGAGAGAAACGTCCGTTATATACAAAATGTTGAGTCAAATTAGAAACTTTCCAATTCTTGAATAATCTTTTTATTACTTAATTAATGTGAAGGCTTATCTAATTTCGTTAAAAGCGCATAATATATCTCTAAGTGGCGAAAAAATAATTAAAACATTTTTCTTATCAAGAATTTTTCGTTTAACTTTTACTATCCGGCCTCTAATGGAAAATTTGAAAATTAATATAAGCTTATGCACGCACATATGATCTTGTAAATCATATATTATGACATTTGTGCGGGAAAAATAGGCAAAAACCAAAAGTATATATTTTAGCTAAATTACCAATATATTTTTAAGTAACAGTCAGCTGTGTGAAAATTATTTATTTAGAATTGACTATTATAATTTTTCGTATTATATCATGATTTTTTACTGGTACACATTTGTCAGGTTTTGTTTTGGGCAGCGACTTAACCGCAATTTTTCATCTACCAGTAATGCATAACCTATATTTCTTCCTCAATCCCCATTATTCAGTGTAAGATTTCATTTGTTTGCATTTTTATAGATTTAAAGCCTATTTATGTTAGATATTTTGGTAGCCCAATAATTTTTTTATTCTAAATTTTCGAACTACCAGCGGGAGCGCAGTCATGGGTAACAAAATTGACTCGTGAACAGGCCCTGGGCCCAACGCCAAACATCAGCATGCAATATCTACACATAGCCTCAGATCAATGAGCTGTGGGTAACTCCGGCTAACAGTAAATCGGCTTTGCACAACAGCCACAGAGCTGGAGCCCAATTGGCCGGAACGCGACAGGTCCTACCGCAACAGGCGGCGCAGGTTAGGTTAGGAGTAGCTGTTGCGGTAGGGCCTGCTGCGCTCCGGCCTGTGACTGAACGGCGCTGTTGTGGTGGGCGCTTTGTGTCAAAAGCCGTGAAGATTCCCGGCTGCGTTACGCTCGGGAAGGTATATGAATAGCACTGTGGACTTGGGCTTTACTGACCTCTAGCTATCCACCCCTACCACCAGTTGCTTTTCTTTTAATTTGAAATAATTTTCTGAATGGTAATTTTTTTTAAATATGATCGCGCAAATTAATTCGATGGTCAGGAGCTTGAAGATTTGATTGAAATAGAAGAATTAATTAGTGTAAATCGCTTTTGTATCTTTGACGACTGATTATTGAGATCTTTTGGAGTCGGGTAGATTATTAGTGGTAGATACTGCAGAGCAATTCAAGTTTCTACAATATCTATTATGATTCTGTGTCAAAATAAATAATTCATTTATATACTGTTGTTCAGTACTATTGTTCCTTAAATAAATAAACATCTGTTTACTCAATTTAGTTGGTGCACGTAACCTTGTAGTAACTATTAATGATAATAAATACTTTTATCGAGTCATTATACATGTTTGAACTGTAGAACAATGTCAGTGTTAAGGTGCTAAGTTTTAGCCGATATTAGCGGCTAATAACACCCGCTAAGTCTCCTCCCGGTGAACGAATATGGAACTTGACAGTGATAGTGAGTTTTAGGAGGCTTTTCATGAAGCTGTTAGTCAAATTATTGTTACTCTAGCTAGTAAAGGGGATTTTTTATCAATCAACATATGGCGTAGGTAGTAAAGTGGTAGAACGGAGGAATTTCTATGGAGCATCATCGAAAATTTCGTGATGTTACAGAGACTTGTACAGTTTGGCTGCTTACCCATGGTTGAGCTTTATAACAAGAATATTTTATTCCATCCCTCGTAAACGAATTATATATATATTTCAAATTTTGTTCTACCATGCTGCTTACCTAATAGACGGGAGCTACCGCAGCCAACACTAATTCTTTGCACTGCTAGAGCTTGCACCAGGCGCGCCTTGCAACTTTGCGCTGAATGAAAAATTTAGCCAGTTTTTGTTATAGGCCAATATAGGGTAATATTTGCTGCTAATACTTCCAGCTGAAACTTTCCCGAATACAAGCACCTACAGGTACGCTGCTTTCAGCTATAATATACTTTCTTAACCCTATGTTTCACCGCACTTTTCCGTAACAAGTTTTGCTTCGATTCGATATGCTTTACTGAACGGTATGTTGCGTTAGCTGAAGTTGACACGAACGCGAGCCATGTACTCAAGAATCTTGAGTGAAGAAGGAAAATGACGGGATTTTAAATAAAATATTTCAGATAATTATTCATAAAATCAAGTTGCTCGTTACAAGCAGCATCCGAAGCATCGATAAATGACTCATGACTTGCTACCAAGAGGCGTCTTATGCAATTACTAACAATACTTATAAATAGCAAAGAGATCGAGTCCGACGTCTTGACCGAAATACATTGAACAATTTCATCAACGACGGAATCCATTCCAACATTTTGTCAGTCATTTTATCGATGACGAACTGAATGGAAAAACCAATCTAACTTCGTGGTCCAAGCAGAACTACTGGCTTGCGAGAACTGCGTCTGGAAGAACTGCAGGGCCTGCTGCTCAGAACTGCAGCTCATGCCCAGGGCGCGGCGCAGGTAGGCGAGGTCGGCCTGCGTCTGCAGCTCCGGCAGTCCCGAGTCCAGCAGGATGGCAAAGAGAGACAACAAGAGACGAGAGTGTCGCCGCAGGGCCAAGTAAGCTCGACCGCACAACTCCTCAAACTTTTTAAACGAAGGCGACTCTTTGGCATTTTCATCGCCACCAGCTATGACCATAAGGAAGTCCTGCGTCAGCACGAACGGCACTCGCTCTCGCTGCACGCCAAATTTCTTCTTGTAGTTGCCTAAGAAATGACCGAAATCAATATGGAAAATTTGTCCATCTTCGTTAACCATTATGTTGTCGGGATGACGGTCGCCAATACCAAGGACAAAAGTGGCCACGCAATATCCAGCACATGAACGCGTAAAATTATCGATGGCTTGTGTTAGTTTGGGACCAGGATTGTGTTCCTTGATCCATTTGTAGAGCTGGCTTGAGTCTACTTGCACAGCCCCTAGTTTAGCTCGTCGTTGAATAGAATATATTGTCCGAGAATTGCTCACGAGCTCAATGACGCCCATATTGCCGTGCATGGCCAGGCAGCTGTACGGGGTCATGCGCAGGTCCAAGCCCTCCTCGGCCCAGATGCTCGCCATCACCGACAACACCTGCAGGCTCAGTTCGTCCTGTCTCAGGTCGTCACCCCGCTTGAATATCATGCAGAAAGTGTCAGCGTGACAGTGGGCCATCGGGTCCGAATTGTACCACACAATTTTCAGTGGCTTTCGTGCGCTGTCGAGTACACTGCATGCGGAGACCTTCAAAGCGCCCAGATGCCGGCCCTGACACAGCGGTGACGACACGTGCTGCAGCGCCGTCAGGTTCTCCTTCTGTGCCAGCAGCTCGCGCAGTGAACTCGATTGGTCCTTGGGAAAAATTATATCTAGTAAGAAATTGGTTCATGCATTTATTTACATGTATACATTAGTTGCGGGGAAAATGAATACCTACTGAATAATAGATTGATAATAAATTTAAAGGCATCGAGCGCTTATCCTTTCTGTGACAACAGCTCACCAGGTGAACTTGATTGGTCCTATAAATAAAAGAGCATTTGATGAGGAATATCTTGATGACTAATATGGTATCCTAAAAATGTAATTGAACAATTCGATGTTTAGACAGGGAATCGAGCAATATATTTCCTTATACCAGAGGCTGGTCATTAAGTAATTTTGACTAATATCTGTTGGCGTCTAGAGTCGAACAGCGCTAGCTACGTTCCTCGGCAGGTAAATAGAAAAGATTGTTCCCTCAGGCAAATGTAGTGAGGGCATTTCCTGTAGAGCATAGATTGAGTGATATAGGTACTCCTGGAGTTAACTTAGAGGGAAGGATGAGTGAAATGTTTTCTACATATTAACCTCAGTTTGTCAATAAAATTGCGTTTAGCTGTAAATGATATAAATAATCCTCCTCACTCTGCCGTGTGGTATGCTCACCCTAGCGGGACAGGAGGCCAGAGTCGTAGCGAGATCGGCGAGGCACCGCAACATCTTCACCTGCGCCGTCAGCAGCGCCATCTGCCGCCGGCACAACCCCCGGCAGTAGGCCTCCAGCACCCCCAGCACCCGCACCGACGCTCCCAGACACCTGCACAGTTAGTACAATACACCACGCAGGCCTCCAGCACCCCCAGCACCCGCATCGACGCCCCCAGACACCTGCTCAGTTAATACAATACACCACGCAGGCCTCCAGCACCCCCAGCACCCGCACCGACGCCCCCAGACACCTGCTCAGTTAGTTCAATACACCACGCAGGCCTCCAGCACCCCCAGCTGGATGGATGAATGAATGAAAGAAATGGTTCATATTGACTGCTACAACCTTGTAATATCATCGATATTCCGGGGACCTCATCAAGGGTCTAGGAATATCATTGAAAGGTGTAGCTATGGAGGAAACGAGTACGGAACTTTCACTGGGAAAAGAATATATAATCAAATTGAAAGGAATAAATTCCTCAGTCTTAATATATTGAGTCTTATCTCAGTCTAAATATATTGAGAGTTGATTATTCAGAAAAAGTGCACCTCAAGTGTAGCACCAACTTGGCCAGATGCGACGCTCTACAGGAACTATTGCTCGTAAATTAAATGAAGCTCCCTGAGGAAAAACCAAGCTACGCTGGCGTACGCCGTACACTTTATGCAATGCAGAGGAAGACAAGGAATTAATCAATTAAAGTCACGGCGTAATACCGGTTATCCTTAAGACCGTAAGATCCCCAGGTAAGAAGTATCCAGAACTCGTTTAGGGACGCCAGTCCAAGGCTATGCTGCAAGCACCACGTTTTGACCAAGAGCCACCCATCAGCGATACCGAATAATGAGCTGAACTTCCCGAGGCTCAAACCCACGGCTAGCTCCTCTTCTCCGGTACCGCTGCCACTACCCTACAGTGGCACTGACCAACGAATTAAAGCGTTGACATCCCGTTAGCCGGGCCAGTTAACCTCAAGTCTTTACAACTGATTGGTATTTATAATCGGTCTTTATTGTTGGACATGACTCATTGAATTAGGCAGTTAAGTGCTGATGTTTTTTGCTGATATTGTTTAAGTTGCTGACGTTTTTTCAGATTAACCTGAATCTGCTTTACTTGGGTTAGTTATGAGAGAGTGACCACTTGAGTATTAAACACCTGAGATGGTGAACAAAGTTGTGCCCGAAGGAGGCGTTGGTGAGGGCGCGGTGCAGGAGGAAGTGCAGCAGGGGCGACGACATGTACATCTCCTGCAGCGCAGACTGGCACAGCTGCAGCAGGTACTGTGAAGTAGCATTTGTTGTAAACGCTGTAAAGTAATAGCTACTGTGAATGCTGTAGAGTAACAGTTGCTATAAACACTGTACAGTAAGAGCTGCTGTGAACGCTGTAAAGTAACAGCTATTGTAGACGCGATGCTGCGGTATAACATAGTAATGTAATGCATAGTGCAGCGGTTACTATGTACAGAGGCTACTTATGAAAAAAAGTAATAATTGCACTCTGCTAGGGTAAGCTGGTAAGAGACTAGACTAGTCATGGTAAGTGGTACTTGGCAAGAGTGGCGCACCAGTTGCAGGTGGTGGGGAGACAAGGTCTTGGCGAGGCTCTGGACGGCGGTGTAGCGCACCACAGGGTCGGGGTAGTGGCGCTGTAGCAGCTCAATGCACACGCCCATGGGCAGGGAGCTCGACCACAGGCCGTGCAGCAGAGAGTACACCTGCAGGGGGTGTGTATGAACGTGTATGAACACGTGATTCATGAATCACGATGAATCACGTGTATGAACACGTGATTCATGCAGCAGCACAGCTGACCTATTGAGTGTACAAAATATTAAAAATTATCATGTAAGGTACGGTATTTATTCTATCTATTCAACATTAAATGAACGTTGCCACGACAATAAACATTCTAACGATACATATTAAGGCATGTACAACAATTATGCAATATAGCTGATATTAACAATCAACTAAACGTTAGGAATATCAAGGTGTCTTCCGGCACCAGTCAGTGAGCTCAGGAGCAACTGATGACAAGGTGGGCATCCCAGTCACCCCACCTCTGCCACGACGTCCCTATGAATATGTCCACCGTCATCCCACCTCTGCCCCGACGTCCCTATGAATGTGTCCACCGTCACCCCACCTCTGCCACGACGTCCCATGAATATGTCTACCGTCACCCCACCTCTGCCACGACGTCCCTGTTGGTCCAGCAGACAGAGTGCAGTAGCCGTGGCAGGACGCATGGCACTCGGTGGCAGTAGCGCCGCAGTCGCCACAGTCTGGCCAGGTCTGCGGCAGGCACTGCGGTGCACAGGTCCACTTCAGACAAGCGGCACAGGAACGACAGGTCCTCGTCGCTGGGGGAGTGCGCGTCCTGCTGCACGCCGCTCGATCGCGTCTGCACAACCACACATTCTAATAAAAACTAGCAAATTTTCAAACCTATCAAATTTTAAACCGATAACCTCCCACCTATCACTAATCCAACAGAGCACCAAAGGATAACATCTGACCTATCACTAAGCCAACACAGCACCAAAAGAAAACCTCTCACCTATCACTAATCCAATACAGCACCAAAGGATAACCTCTCACTTATCACTATGCCACCACAGCACCAAAGGATAACCTCTCACCTATCACTAAGCCAACACAGCACCAAAGGATAACCTCTCACTTATCACTATGCCACCACAGCACCAAAGGATAACCTCTCACCTATCACTAATCCACCACGGCACCAAAAGATAACCTCTCACCTATCACTAGGCCACCACGGCACCAAAGGATAACCTCTCACCTATCACTAGGCCACCACAGCAGTAGATAATAACCTAACCAAGCGTGTCAACATGTCACCGTGTCAGCAGCAGGAGGAGGCGCCAGCTTCTCAGAGGTGCAGGCGTAGGCCAGGATCTGCCGCAGGGACGGGAAGTGCACGGGCCTGCCACCTGACTTGGTCTCGGGGACGACCACGAGGCGCCCGTGTCTGGAGGCCGGTGCGTCTGCTGCAGGCGGCAACGGGGAAAACTCAATTTATTACATAAACTCAGGAAAAAGGTTTATTCAACATGCCATAGTACCTCCCTACAGGCAAGAAGACTTTTTCATTACAGTTTTTAAAAGAAGAACTTATTTTAATCCACTATAGCATAGATGTTGTCATAAAATTTTGAATATCAGCCAAGTAAACATGGATATTCTAAATGTATTGCCGCAACTCACGCAGGTCTAGGAACGGGAAGAGGAACTGGCAGAGGCCGGCGCTGGCGACGCCTTCGCCTTCAGCGCCGCCGTCACTCAGGGGGAGGCTGAGGCGCTCCTGCACCAGACGCCCCTCGTGGTCGAACAGAGGGCAGCAGGTGCTGCTCACCACCCTGCTGTTCCCCTGAGCAGTTCATAACACTCATTATTTCATTATAAAATAAATTCTATGAATAACTCCTCCAAAGTGAAACGTCCGACGGAATCAAAAAGCGGCCGGAGTGCGCATGAACATCCCTTGCGTGACGCTTTAAAAGAATGGAGCATCAATAATTGTTATAAAAATATTAGGTGATTCTGCTACTACACACGAAATAACATAGGAGGAGCAATAATAAGGAGAAGCAGCAAAATATAAAAAGAAATGACTCATTAACGCAACGACCAGTTGCTACATTAGCACCCGATGTCTCGCAGGAACCCTGAAGCTGCCAAGTGTATCCTCACAGTCCTCGCGCTATTACTCCTCGAGTTGTGAATTCCTCACAGGAATAAGGAGTTGAATTACCTTTAGTATGAGAGGAAGAAGTTATCATTCATGCACACTTAGTTAATAATAGGAACTCGATACTGTCTTGAAGCTCCCGAAGCAGTGGTGTACATCAGCGATTCGCATCGCTATTGAGTCCATCAGGACGACAATATCCAAATGTCATTTGATGATCAACACATCACTAGGGGCGGGTGATGAAGGTCTCATCAGGACAGGGGGTGAGGTGATGACACCTAACACGTCACTAGGGGCGGGTGATGAAGGTCTCACCAGGACAGGAGGTGAGGTGATGACACCTAACATGTCACTAGGGTGGGTGATGAAGGTCTCACCAGGACAGGAGGTGAGGTGATGACACCTAACACGTCACTAGGGCGGGTGATGAAGGTCTCACCAGGACAGGTGAGGTGATGACGGACAAGCAGAGCTTGGTGGCCCGGGGACAGTCCTGCAGGTTCAGGTCCCACTCCAGCCACTCGTCCCACTCAGCGCAGCAGCCTTCCTGTTAACATTTACGTACATATTAAAGATTGAGTCCATCAGGACGACAATATATCCAAATGTCATTTGATGATCAAAGAGCAACATATCCCCTTTACTCATATATACTGCCATACAACATATAATGCCAAATAGGATGTGGGGAAAAGTAACATGCAACATGAGCCTTAAATGGGATTATGAGGAATTACATTAGACCAGTGGTTCCCAAACTTTTTCAGGCTGGCGCCTCCTTTGACTCCCTAGTGAATTTCTATCGCCCCCCCCACCACAGACACATATAAAAACATACGTCTCTTTCATGAAATTTAGTACGCTGCAATTTTAAAAGATTAAGGTTAAACAAAAANTGATCTAGGTGATATGATGGCAGCCCTATTCTATTGTATTGATCTAGGTGATGTGTAGGCAGCCCTATTCTAAATAAAACAAAGGTGATATGATCTAGGTGATATCTCAGCTAGGTGATATGATGGCAGCCCTATTCTATTGTATTGATCTAGGTGATATGTAGGCAGCCCTATTCTATTGTATTGATCTAGGTGATATGATGGCAGCCCTATTCTATTGTATTGATCTAGGTGATATGTAGGCAGCCCTGTCAGAAACAAAGCTAGACCGGTTCTATTGTCTGTGCTGCCGACGGTCTACTCACGGTGCCGTCATCAGACCCTGGGTGGTCTGTAGAAGACACGAGGGCGGCGCTGGTCTGCTGCGGGGGGCAGAGCTCGTCGCGTCCGTGGTACAGACCCCCCACCACCCGCACCTGCGGCACCGACGCGTCGGGTAATACGAGGTCATAGGAGGGTAATGTGGCGAGGTAATGTGTGGTAATGTGTTGTAATATAGCAGGGTAATATGGCGGGGTAATGTGTTGTAATATAGCAGGGTAATACAAGGTAATATAGTTTTCATTGACTCAGAAGACAATAATGTTGAGGAGTGAACGGAATGTAAATGCTCTGATTGAGAGCAGTTAATTTGAGTCTAGGCAAGCGCGGATGGAATAAGGGTAACGGGATAAGTTCTTATTTCTTGCCCACCTTCTGACCAGAAGAAGCATTCAACTTTGTCGCGCGCTTGACGCAGACCTTGACAGGTCCTGACAGGCTAGGATGCCACAAGTTGACAGAGTTGCCAGACCTCTGGTCATCGGCAACGGAGTCACTGTCCGGCAAAAATTTGTTAGCTTCTGGAGGTGTGGTCCTAGAGTTTGGTGGAAGTCTTCTCTTGACTTTATGTCTGACATGCGGGGTCCTGGAGGCTTGAACTGGTGATAGGCAGCAATTATTGTTGCATTGTATTTTTTTAAAGGAACAGCGGGGTTTACAATCTTGGGTAGATATAGAGTTGCCGTCATATTTAGCGAGTCGAGCTTCTGTGAACTGCTGCCGGAGCAGCTGTGTGATGGGCGGCACAATGTCGGTTCTATTTAGAGTGAGGGGAGAGGATGCAGAGGTTTGGGCGCTGCGAGAGCATTTCAGTTCATTTGCACAATCCAAGGTCTTAGGCTGGGAATTAGAAACTCTCACTGCTTTCTTGTGAGCAATCATTCCCTTGAAATAGTATTGACATTGCCTTATTTTGATCGAGTCGAGTTTTCGACGCTTGCGCATCAAATTTCTTTCGGGAGTTCCGTCAGCCTGGAGGCGTTTTCTGTTGGATGAATAATCGTTTCTGTGTTCAGATTTTGGTAATTCCTTGTCACAGTCAGAAAGTGTAGCTTGTTTCCGTGGCGCTATGTCTGAAGAACAAGATTTAGTCTGATGGTGCAGCTCCGGTACAGAGTTCTTACAGCAGCACTCAGCAGAGACGTGGTTCATACAAGAACAACCTCTCGCTCCCAGGCGGGACAAGCTGCTCTCCAGCTCCGCAAATGGCAGCATGATCAGTTTAGGCGTCTTGCCTCGACATATCATTTGATAAATGGTCTGCGGCAAAGAGAGAATAGCATATTACACTATTTGCTATTAGCAATAGCAATTCATTACACTACCTATTTTTTTCAATTCGTCAGGGTGTAATGCATTCGCACTAAACAGGCTAATGATCAATTGTGTCGTCAGTAGGTGGCATAAAATTAGAACTGTTGACTATTAATTCGGAAAATAAACCATATTAGTCTGTGATTTCAAAAACCAATAAACTATTACTAAATTACAGATGGAAAGAAAAGTTATCAGTTTTTTTTCTAAAGTTCCTCTACATGCTACATCAAGCAGGACAACCATTTCATAAATCTTGCCTTCGTTGGTAAATACAGTCCAATTTGAACCATCGTGATATCTATCACCTTGAAAAGTTTAGTGTATTAGTTAGCCCTGAAGTAATTAATGTTACCTATATTTTGATAACAGTACACAGTGAATAATTTGTTTACAATGGCACATTACCTTGTATTGAGCGATGGGTTCCTCGGCCAGCAGATATTCAGTGACGCCAGAAATTTTCAGCACATGCGCCTCCACTTGCTGCTGGCACTGAGGAGACTGCAGGCAGTCATTCGTCTTATTATCTTCATTAATTAGCGCGTCAAAGTTAATGTCATTCAAATGTGGCGGAGAGAGCGACTGTTGAGCAGCAGGAGTAGCTGGCCCAGCTTCTTGTGTGGCTGTCAAACCAAGTTTATGAAGAACAACGTGCAGGATTTTCTTGGGAGTGTCTGACCAAAGAGCCTTGACGGTGCAGTCCTTTGATTTGTACATAACACCCACGTGCAGAAAGCCTGCAACATATCAAATAAATCAGTGTACAGAAATATGGAAAAGTATACAAGCTAACCAAGGATAAATGGTTAAAAGTTGCATGAAAACAATGTTACGAATGGGGCCATATAGGAAAATACATTTTTCCCCTACTGAACAGAAACACAACATTTACTCATTAATCGAGGTCACAATTAGTCTTAAACACACTTAATGTAATTTCCTAAGTTGCTGAAAGATTGTGTCAAAAGTTCTCACAAAATGAGAACTGCTTGCAAATATTGCTGATGTTCTGAGCGGAGACCAACGGAAGCTGTCAACGCTGTAATAAGAAACAAATTCTGGAGGTTTGATAAATGAAGGCTAGAAAAAGTACCAGCCATGAAGAGAACTTAAGGGAAAGAATCGTGGATGATGGTGCCTCTATTCACTGAACATCAGTGAGAGGCCATCGTAAATGAGAAGTGGTGGCTGGAGTACCTTGATCCTTATTACTTGCAGCAGTCAAGGGCAGAATTGGTGAAGCCTCAAGCAGCGGAGGGAAGTTATAGCGAGCAATGGACAGCCAGCCACCCCGTTCTCTGCACTCCACGGCATCCTCAACAACCTGCAGGAACAAAACAAAATTTTAACTTATCAGACACATAAAAATGGGCCTGAATACGCCAATTAAACCTCTAGGTAAAACCCAACTTAGGAGTAAGGGGTTCAGTAAACCTCGATGTCACTTATTTGAAATAAGGCTTCAACTAAAAATTCCCTACTTGTATGAATTGGAAAGTAATGAGAAGCCATGTGTAACAAAGTCTTTTAATTTTGAGCTACTAAATGAAGACTAATAATTGGTTCATTCATCCTAGTGCTATTGTTACTCAAAGAGCAAGTTAATCGTAGGAGGAAGATGGTACATTATAACTTTTCTACAGTCCTAATGGCAGGTCAGCAGTAGAGACGTACAACTTAGCATTTCCACTACTGAGGCTTACTATCAATTCCTTACTGAATCAAACCAAAGATCCACAAATACTGAATGAGAAGAATAGCTTAATTTAATTATTAGTACTCCAGTACTCCTCATCATTATCAAGACAATGAAATAATGAAAGAAATCACCTCCAAAATAGAACGCCGGAAAGAAGTTATTTCTTGATCATGACAATCATCAAGGTCACTCAAAGGACGACCAGCAATCAGACCTGTAAGACACATGAAAATCTCACAAAACAATATGATAAATTCACTACAATGATTGTTAGTTGATCCTTAAGCTTAAGAAACTGTTTTAATAGACGCATAATATAATAAAAACCCTATTATGTGCTAAACATTGCTCATGATGAAAACTGGTGTCAGTTATCTGGTATATCTTTTTCTAATCGGAGGTCATAAACATGGGTGATTTTTAGCACATTTTCTCATTTATGGAAAAAATACACTACGTATTGTGCTTGCCATGTCCGTCCATCCGTCTGTCCGTGACCTCAAGTTTTCATCAATGAGAAAATGCGCTCTCTGTCACTCACTGCAGTGAGTACTGAGTTATATTTTTTAATATTTCAATCAAGAAATTGGCTGCATTTAAGGTTAATTTTCAGATGCTTCAATTGATCCAATTTCAGGAAAAAATACCAAAATAATACATACAAGCAGCCTGGAAATCTATCATTGGCAAATCTTGGTACACAGAATCCCTATTGACATCTTTGTACAATTCTAAAGCATGATTTTATACATTTGTATTGAGATTATAGTTTTGATTTTCAACTTCATTTGCACATTGATAATTATGTCTTGTAACACCATAGGTTCTAGTCTTTTTATGCATGTTTACGCACTTCTGGAAAACTTATAAGCAGGTTTGAAGAACATCTCTGAGTTTGTTTACAAAAGGCTATTAGATAACTATTGTGTCATGATTTTCATATCACGAGTCATGAAACACTTTCTAACAATACATTGTATTCATTTAAGACTTCCTCCACATTATTCTGAGAATTGCTTAAACTTCACTACTGCCTCTACTACTACTACTCTACTACTACTACTCCTCTACTACTACTCTACTACTCTTGCTCCAGGTCAAAAATATAATCAAAACAAAGGATTAAAGAAATGAAGGCAGAGCAACTACATCTTTCACTTTCTGATAGATCCCTAAAGGAATGAAGTGGCAATGTCCTGTCTCAGCAATGTACCGTCAACCGGGGCTACTTGGGACGATTTCGAACGTTTTTCATTCATAACTTCTTACGATGAAACATTTCATAAACAAGTTTAGGCTCATTTCAAAGTTCTTTGCAAGGGCTATCACATGGCTTCTAAAAAAAATCCATATGCTATTCGTAAGGTGCCAGAAGCAAAAAAAGGGTGTCCCGAGTAGCCCCGTTGAACAGGGCTACTCGGGACACTTGGAATAAAACTTCATTTTAAAACATTTGAAGCATGCTGAGTGTACTCATCCTTTAATAACAGTACTCTGAAGTTCTCCTTTTTCATTGTAGATGATGTAGAGGTAGAATAAATGACTTTTTCTGTGATTTTTGCTTGTTTTTCCTTTATTGATATGATATTACCATATACAATAATCATCGTATTATTGATGCGATATTAACGTATTATTGATGCGATATTACAGTATCCATGAAAATGCCATTAAGCATTTACAACAACCTTGTCTACTGCAAGCTGCATATCAGCAGCCTTATAGCATTTTTTCTGTTTCTGTAAGTTTACAGGATGGCTTGTAATTTCACACCATTTTAATTGGGTTAAGTGAATTTCCTATAAAAAAAACTTGAAAAACATACCTGAAACAGAAAGGAATGTTTTAGTGACAACCATCATACGTTTTAAAGAAATAAATCATAGTTTAGGTCAATTACTTTTCATTCTATGATGCCTGGTGCACAATTCTATATATGACATTCTATGCACAATTTTGTGATGACCGATGATGCACTAATTTTTCGATAAGTGAAATTTTTTTTGCTGAACGAGGTAAATGTAATCAATATTCTTTGTTTTTAATTAATTTTTTTTCTTAACTGGAGCCTTTGCTAACTGAGGTGCTACTGTAAATGCGTTTTTAGGGGTGTCCCAAATAGCCCTGGGGGGTGTCCCGAGTAGCCCCGCCGTGCGGAATTGGCTGCCATTTTTTTTTATTGAGGTATGTAAATTCCGCAAATAAAGTTTTCATGCTGACACTTGTCTGCCACTTTTTTCTAAGCAAAATTTTTTAATACGGCAAATATTTTTTTACTACGGACCTTAGCAGAAGTAACTTTTCAAAATATAGTTTTTCACCATTTTTTAAGGAAATTTTCATAGCTAGTAAATGTAGTATTTTTGAACTTCTTTTATACTACATAGATAGGAAAAATGTTGATGTTTAGGCCACTATATTTAATTTTGCAATATTCCAATCAGTTTTGCTACTAAAACAGTTTTATGCCGTGTCGGAGGACTGTCCCGAGTTACCCCGCCCGTCCCGAGTAGCCCGGGTTGATGGTATTATTAATATAAATAATAATTTTAATTATCCTTCCAGCCATAATTTGTAATTACTGCATAAGCTATCCTAAAATTATTGCTAACAGAACATAAAAAGCCAGTTAATCATTTCTTTGTAGTTTGGATTTTGATCATTTCATCAAGAACCTTTATTTTCATCACTTTTGAGGAGCTTTGGCTACTTTTACAAATTACAAAACTATTACAATTTGATATGGGTATAGGGTAATAGGTCTGTAAGGCAAAATTACAAACAACCAATGTTGTTATTAATAATAGCATCATAAAATACTAAATGGAAAACTATGAAAGTAATGAGTTAAAAAATATATATATATATGATTCACCTATACATAGCTTATCAATTCTATTCATTAAATAATTAATAGTTGCAAACTTACAATTAATTAAATGATATGGTTAATTCAATTACCAATATATGAATTTTTTTAAGTTCTATAAGCTAAAATATTACATAATACAAAACTGCCATAATCTAATTGTTATTCTAAAGTTGAAAATGATCCTTGCATAAATTCTGTGGACTATTTGGTCCATTAAATATACAGAAGCAATTCTGAGTAAAACTGCACTTAGTTTCAGAATAATTGGGCAATTTAATATGTGACAATCCTTTCCAATATAATAAAACAAAAACACTCACCAACTTGAGCATAAAGTTTGACTTCCTCAATTGGCTGCTCCAAGAGTTTCAGTTTCATTGAAGAAAATTTCAAGTTTATTTCTAAAAGCTTTTCATCTTCGTCCCAGAGCAGCTGTTGTGTTGGAAATTCTGCATCACCAGCAATGCCCACCAACACATAGTTGGAGAGATCCCCTAAAGTTGCTGCTGCAGGATACTTCTTAGCCTCAGTCCATAGCAAATCTGAAAATATCAAGTTGATACAATTTAATAGAATATATATTGTCAGAAAAATTTTCTCCTTTGAATTTTATCAAACCAAACATCAATTATACCGTAAAATGGGGTAACTTAGACCATCGGGGTAACTTAGACCACTTTTCGTTTTTTTAACAAAAACCCCCACAACTCAAAAACTATTTGACATAGAAAAATTTTGTCAATATTGGAGTTATTTTACCAAAAAATATAATTGATTTTACCACCCGGTCTAAGTTACCCCAAGAGCTGGGGTAACAAAGACCACCACTTTTTTTGAAATTACATAAATACTATGAGAGGCAGGAGCCAGCAATTTATGGTGAGTGAAGCTAGAGTATAGACATGTATTTTGCATGTTTCAATTCAAGTTTAATTTAGCTAGTAAAAAAATGGCATCATTTATAATAAAAAAAGTGGTCTAAGTTACCCCATTTTACGGTACATGAAACAGGAGAGTAATAAAAATCAACTTTGGTATCTTTTATCATAAGCCAGCTAAACTTCAACGTAAATCATTTTGAACATGTTATACAGTAATAATATTCTATGGTTGCACAGACGAAAGGGCACTTGGGGCAGTACAACAGTGAATACAAAATATGGAACTAGTAATTACCCTAATTGAAGTTTTTATCTCATGTCTAATAGAGATGATAATACCACAATAAATTGTAGTTATGAGCTAAGCCTACAATACAGATTAGTTCAACTCTCAATTCATATCTCAGGCAGTAGCACATTACACTGCCTAAAATTCTTTTCTGTACTTGTGTAATCATATTCAATGCTCAGCAGGGTCAAGTGATCAAATATGTTTATTTTAGCCAAGCATTAAATTACCTACCAATGTTTCTGTACCACTCACGTTTAACGCTCCGAAGGGTCAAGTGATGTGAGCAAGAAAGAGGGACCAAGGAGCCATTTGGTAAGACAAAATCAAAAATTTTAAGTTCATCTTTTTCAATTTCCATGATAGGTGTAGACAATTTAATTGAAGAACTTCATCATCAGTAACCAAGACAGGAAGACCTGAGACCTGAAAGTTTATTTTTCTGTAATAAGAAGAAAATCAATATTGTCATTAAAGTAATCAATGGAAAATCTTGGTTCTTGAAATCATGGTAATTATAGTTTACTGCACTACTGTCAAACAAGGTAATAAAGGATAAATATTTTGGTTTTTCGTTGATAACTTCTTACCATGAAACATTTCACAAACAAGTTTGGGCTCATTTTAAAGGTCTTTGCAAGGGCTATTGGGCTATTTTATGGCATCTCTGTAAAAATTCTATATGCTATTTGTAAGGTGACAAGCAAAAAAAAAGCATCCCAAATTACTCCTGGGAACTGGGTAATCTGGGACACTTGAAATAAAATTTATTTTTAAAATGCATGAAGCATGCAGAGCGGACTCATCCATTACTAACGGTACCTACTCCAAAGTCCTCTTCATTTGCAGATGTAGATATAGAATAAATGACATTTTGTGTACTTTGAACTTGTTTTTCATTTATTGATGATATTACCATCAGGCTGGAATTATAGGATAGGGCATAAATTTACTTTCATTTTTGGGTGGACACATGTCCCTTTCCAGTTGTGATTGGTTGAGATGCCTTCCTCTCCAGACTGTGATTGGTTGTAGGATCATGATGATTTCCTGTCCAGACTATGGTTGGTTATGCAATGGCCTTTCTAACATTTTAGTGACAACAATAATATTTTTTGGAAAAATGAATCATAGTTTAAGTTAATTAGTTTTCACTCTATGTTGTAAGGTGCATAATTCTGTCTATGACATTCCATGCACAATTTTTTTATGACCAATGATGCATCAACTTGACTTGACTTGACAAGTTAGACGCTTGAGGCCTTTCTCAGAGACCTGTTCGTCTCTCCGAGACTATACTAACTTTGTAATATTAGCAAAATTCGGGGGCGGCTGGGTTGCAAAAAAAAGTTAGTGTCTAGTTCTGGCATGATGGAGCATAGAGAGTAGGCAGATGAAGCCNCCCAACTTCCTGCGTAAAAACGCTCTGAAAGAAATCATTTAGTAGATTGGCTTTTTCCTGGTCATTTTCTGTTTTTCTTCCATCTTCCTTGATTAGGTCGGCTACTCCACTACGACTCTTGGTTTTGGATTTGACGTACTGCCAGAACGCCTTTGGGTTGGTTTTTGATTCAGCTGCGATTTTCTTTTCTAATTGCTTCTGTGCATTGCGACAGTCCTTTCTGGCTTTATTTCTTACTTTTTTGTATGCTTGGTAATCTTGTCCATCGCGGGTTTCTTGCCATCGCCTGAAGAGTTTGTGCTTCTTCCTTACTATTGTGAGAGTGTCTTTGTCCATCCAAGTTTTGCCTTTTCTGCCAGATGTGCGCGACATTGGAGTTGATGCTTCAATTGCCTCAGTTATTTTGTTTTTGATTTTGGTCCATGTTTCGTCCACCTCCAGGCCGCTCAGTTCGTCTTGCCAATTAATGCCTGCTAATGCCCCTCTCAGCACAGCACTGTCCATTTTCCTGAAGTTGCGTCTGTTAAGTCTGGGTGGGTCCTCGCAAACGAAGGATATAGTCACTAGCAGTGTGAAGTGGTCACTTTTTCCCAGGCCTGCCATCATCCCACATTCAATCACCATCTCCTCTCGGTTTGTGAAAATCAAGTCCACTGTGTTGGACTTCTCTCCCTCCCTGAATCTTGTGGGCTCTCTCTGATGCTGGATTAGGAAGCAGTTTTTGACGGTTTTCAAGAATTGTGATGCTATATGGTTGGGACCAGCCTCGCACCTTTCAGTTACCCAGTTTATTTCCGGAAAGTTGAAGTCCCCCATGATGAGGATGCTCGATGCTCCCAGCTCAGTTGCCCTTTTCAATGTCTCATTCAGTTCACTGGTGTTCTCTGCAGTAGAGTTTGGGCTGCGGTAGATCAGTCCCAACAATAACTTTGCTCCATCCACTTGGCGGCATTCTACAAAAATGCATTCTTTGAAATTGTTGCCATGAGTGTCGCAGAATGAGGGCTTCAGTGCCGACTTCACGTAGAGGGCTAGCCCTCTGCCGTCGTTACCAAGGTTGTGGTTATTCCATAGTCCTTTATTGCAATCTCACATTCATCTATGGTGTACCTGCTGTTTTTTGGCTTGACCTCTGTGATCCCTATTACATCTGGATTTTGGATCTCAATCATGGCTTGAAGTTCGCTTCTTTTGTTCAGTAGCTGATCAGCGTTAGTGTACATGCACTTGCAACTGTCATTCACACTCCTTTCTTGCCGTTTTAGACCAGGCTTAAAATCAGACTTATAACTTTCAGGTGAAAAATCTTTATCTTTAAAATGAACATGCTCATTTCCGTTGCCCCCATTAAAACTATGTACAGCCTTGCTGTCATCTACGTGTCCTGTCCCTCGGCGCCTCGCGTCCCTGGGTATACTCCGATGTTCACAATTTTGCCTCTTCGTCGAATCCAGTGGGCTCTCTGGTCCCCTGCTTGCTGCGCTTCCTGTCGCCTTTTCTGCAGTTCCTGATAGAGACAAGCCTCTTCTTCTCTCTCCTTTGGGGTCAGGTCTTTGCGCATGGCTACTCGGGTCAGCTCAATGTTCACATTTTCCCCTTGCTCTTGAGCGACTAGTTTCTTCGCCTTGTGGAAAGCGGTCAGGTCCCCGTCTCTCACCGCTAAAGAACTGAAAGTCAGTCGCAGCGGACTAATCTTTCCACTCTCCTCTGAGTAATTACCAAGCCTTCTCTGGTCAATAGGTTTGTGTTCAGATTTGATCAACTGCAGCACTTTGAGTACTTTTTTATCATCTTCTCGTTTTCTCAGATCTGCCGACCTCTCCTTCTCCTCCTTCATTCCAAAGATGAGAACATTAGTCTTCCTGCGATCCCTATCCTCCATTTCGTTTGTTTTTGACTCAATCAATGTCGCCACTTCTTCAGCTGCTATGCTTGGCTGAGCCTCTGATGCATTGCTCTGAGTAATTTCTCTCACCATGTCAATCATGGCTGGGGTGAATTTTCCCCTGGCTATGTCACTCATTTTACTGTCCACATGGGCCACCCTATTGTCCACGTCCATCAATTTTGCTGTCAGTTTATGCACCTCTGACTCCAATTCAATCAAGCTTCTCAGAAATTTTGATGCTGGTTTGTTACATTGTTTTGTGCAAAAGTAATGGAGTACCGTCAACCGGGGCTACTCGGGACAGATTTGAACGATTAGTTTTAAATAACAGTTAATAACTTCTTACGATGAAACATTTCATAAACAAGTTTAGTCTCATTTTATAGCTGATTGGCAGGGCTATCGAATGGCATTGTCAAAAAAATTTCATACGCTATTTGTAAGGTGCCAGACGCAAAATAGAGATTGTCCCGAGTAGCCCCGTCGGTTGGGGCTACTCGGGACAACGGGAATAAAACTTCATTTCAAAACATTTGAAGCATGCAGAGCGTACTCATCCATTACTAACAGTACTCTGAAGTCCTCCTCTTTCATTGTAGATGATGTAGAGGTAGAATAAATGACATTTTCTGTGATTTTTACTTGTTTTTCCTTTATNTCCAGGCCGCTCAGTTCGTCTTGCCAATTAATGCCTGCTAATGCCCCTCTCAGCACAGCACTGTCCATTTTCCTGAAGTTGCGTCTGTTAAGTCTGGGTGGGTCCTCGCAAACGAAGGATATAGTCACTAGCAGTGTGAAGTGGTCACTTTTTCCCAGGCCTGCCATCATCCCACATTCCATCACCATCTCCTCTCGGTTTGTGAAAATCAAGTCCACTGTGTTGGACTTCTCTCCCTCCCTGAATCTTGTGGGCTCTCTCTGATGCTGGATTAGGAAGCAGTTTTTGACGGTTTTCAAGAATTGTGATGCTATATGGTTGGGACCAGCCTCGCACCTTTCAGTTACCCAGTTTATTTCCGGAAAGTTGAAGTCCCCCATGATGAGGATGCTCGATGCTCCCAGCTCAGTTGCCCTTTTCAATGTCTCATTCAGTTCACTGGTGTTCTCTGCAGTAGAGTTTGGGCTGCGGTAGATCAGTCCCAAGTTCCCAACAATAACTTTGCTCCATCAACTTGGCGGCATTCTACAAAAATGCATTCTTTGAAAATTGTTGCCATGAGTGTCGCAGAATGAGGGCTTCAGTGCCGACTTCACATAGAGGGCTAGCCCTCTGCCGTCGTTACCAAGGTTGTGGAATAGTTCATAGTCCTTTATTGCAATCTCACATTCATCTATGGTGTACCTGCTGTTTTTTGGCTTGACCTCTGTGATCCCTATTACATCTGGATTTCGGATCTCAATCATGGCTTGAAGTTCGCTTCTTTTGTTCAGTAGTTCTTCAGCGTTAGTGTACATGCACTTGCAACTGTCATTCACACTCCTTTCTTGCCATTTTAGACCAGGCTTAAAATCAGACCTATAACTTTCAGGTGAAAAACCTTTATCTTTAAAATGAACATGCTCATTTCTGTTGCCCCCATTAAAACTATGTACAGCCTTGCTGTTGTCTACGTGTCCTGTCCCTTGGCGCCTTGCGTCCCTGGGTATACTCCGATGTTCACAATTTTGCCTCTTCTTTGAATCCAGTGGGCTCTATGGTCCCCGCTTGCTGCGCTTCCTGTCGCCTATTCTGCAGTTCCTGATAGAGACAAGCCTCTTCTTCTCTCTCCTTTGGGGTCAGGTCTTTGCGCATGGATATGCGGGTCAGCTCAATGTTCACATTTTCCCCTTGCACTTGAGCAACTAGTTTCTTCGCCTTGTGGAAAGCGGTCAGGACCCCGTCTCTCACCGCTAAAGAACTAAAAGTCAGTCGCAGCGACCTAATCTTTCCACTCTCCTCTGAGTAATTACCAAGCCTTCTCTGGTCAATAGGTTTGTATTCAGATTTGATCAACTGCAGCACTTTGAGTACTTTTTTATCATCTTCTCATTTTCTCAGATCTGCCAACCTCTCCTTCTCTTCCTTCATTCCAAAGATGAGTATATTAGTCTTTCTGCGATCCCTATCCTCCATTTTGTTTGTTTTTGACTCAATCAACATCGCCACTTCTTCAGCTGCTATGCTTGGCTGAGCCTCTGATGCTCCAAATACTGTCGGCCTGCTTGTGGTTGGAGCGCGGCCCGGATATGGGCCCAAATCGACAGCAAATCTCTCCCCGTTGTAGGCGGAGAGGTTTCAACTAGTATATCTGACTCCGCTCAACATTTCATCTCTGGTTTGGTTTAGCCATGGGGTGAAAGAAAATGAAACACGGAGCATGACTGACAAGAAATTATAAACACAAAAGAAATGAAGCATACAAAAGTAAACAAAGAAAAGGGAAAAGTGGGTGCATAAGTGACAGACTTTATAGTGTCTTGCCCAAACCAAGAACCCTGAAATAACACAAGAAATTAGCTTGTTTAAAAAAGGGTAAATTGAAGAACCTTGAAAAAACCATCATTAGCGCAATCATTATAAACAAATATACTCATTAACTGATAGACTAGCATTTAAATGCAGAGAGAGATTAAATAACATTAACAGAACAACTCAAGTATCAAAAATATTAATTGATTAAGCGAGAGGCATATATTATATATCCATCAGACTTGGGTTAATCACAGACGAAGCTTTGATGGTCATCAGCCAAACTAACGCATGTCTCAAACCAATCATCGTTAACCCGAACAAGTGGCGACAACCATGCTTGGATATGGTGCTGCCTGAAGTTTTGTTATTGCTACTGGCTGCAGAAGATGCCGTGCCAACTCCCGCCATTCTGCTCTGCCTCATTTTTAGATTTAGAGAACAGACAATCTTCTCAGCGGTGAAGAGAGATCAGTCGCCCACAACGTCACTCTGCCAATCTGCCTTCTTATTCTGCGCACTTGAAATACTTGTTAAAAAACGTTTATTTCCGGTACAACACAGATAAAAACTTGATCGCCCTAGATTGGCACGCAGTGACGCATGCGTGACGTAGATGCCACGCAGTGAAACGATTTCAGTCAGTAAAAAGTGGCAAAGGAAAACAACAATAGGAGAACAGTGAAAATTCACAGATCACTATTCACAGTCTATTTTGACCAGTAAATTTTAAACTGAATTTTTTAAGAATTAACACTGAATAAACACTTGTCACAAATCTTAGGGCCGTAGCTCACTTCTGGAATGAAGAGGATTCTGTGGAAGATCAGTAAAACGTGGTAAAGGGAACAGTGAAAATTCCTACATCATTACATGAGAATTGAGGAATTGAATTGGAATATTGAGTAAATGAGATGTAATTTTTTAATTGTATCTATTGGTTGCTTTGTGCTTGTAGCCTGGTATTAGAAATACAAATAAAAAATGGGACCAATGGGCTACTTGCCAATTGCCATGCTCGGGATGATGTAGGTTTTCAAGAAATGTTACCATGCATAATGAGTTTTTTAAGACATTGGTCTCAATGGTCTGCACAGTTGGAGGAAAAATCTAAATATTCTTTCTTTATGCAGGTGTTTGCGTTTAACCCGACCATCCATTCCACACCGCACAAGACAAGAGTGTATGCAGTCTTGGTGCAGATACAGTTTGTCAAGGAACTGTCTATGAATGGAAATCTGTGCTTCACTTTGCGATTGAAAAAAATTTGTTTGCACTTGTGCATTGCTGCATGCTCATGGCACAGCCTTGATCTCATTCTCATAGTGATCGAGTATTTGTGGAATGTGAGGCTCAGAGGCTACGATCTTGTTTGCTGAGTTCAGCAAATATCCTTATACATGCAGCGTGTGTAAGACAACCTTGTGTTAATTCAACCATTTGAGTCAGAACTTCAGTAACCCAGAGATGCCTTATATTTTATTATTGTTGGTTTACCTCACGTCCCATCAAACGGGGTAATAAGTTAAGGCAGGGTAAATCAGGACAGTTGTCCCACATTTCAGAGAAATGTTGTAGCAGCTAAACTAATCAAAATATTTTAAAACTAAAAATAGTGGCGTAAGGTTTAACATTTTTACTAACTATGTAGCATAAAGTCTAGAAATCATACATTTACTACCTCTAAAAAATCCCTGAAAAAAAGTGTGAAAAGTGAGATTTTGAGAAAATACTTCTGCTAAGGTCTGCAGCAAAAAAAAATTCAGCATATTAAAAAAATTTTTCCTACATAAAAGTTGCACACAGGTGTTGGCTTAAAAACTTGATTAACAGAATTTGCATATCTCATTCCAAATAAAAATTGCAGCCATTTCTGCAAGATAGGGAAATAAGGGACACCGCCTGGGGTAATAAGGGACACCCCAAAAAATGAATTTGCAATAGAAGCTTGATTAGCAAAAGCTCCAGTTAATGAAAAAAATCACTGAACCAAAAATTTTTATTGCATTTACCTTGCTCAGAAAAAAATTTCATTTAATGAAGAATTAATGCATCATTGGTCATCACAAAATTGTGCATAGAATGTCATAGATAGAATTGTGCAGCAGGCAACATAGAATGAAAAGTAATTAACCTAAACTATGATTTATTTCTCCAAAAAATGTGATAGTTGTCACTAAAATATTCCTTTATGTTTCAAGTATGTTATTTATGATTTATTTTTTTATAGTGAATTCACTTGACCCAATTAAAATGGTGTGAAATTAAAAACCGTTCTCTAAGTATACAGATACAGATAAAATTCTGTTTGGCTGCTGATGATACAGCTTGCAGTGGACAAGGTCATTGTCAATGCTCAATGGCATGTTCATGGATATGGTAATATTACATCAATAATACAGTAATGTATGGATATACTAATATCAGATGAAGTTGCTTGTTTGTAATGGCTGTGCACAGCCATTTCTTCTATCACCTGAGACAAGCTCACAATCAGACCTGGTCTCAAAGCATTACAAACAAGCAACTTCATCTCAAGATTGTCAATGAATTGAACAGGCTTCATGATGTCAAACTCCAAACTAAACCAATAACGGCCCTTGCAAAAATGTGTCTCTTTTCTGAGAGACTAGTATACCTAGTCTATAAATTTTGCTTCAAAGAAGGTTGTAAACTTCATTTGGATTACATTGAGCAAATTGAATCAACAACAAGGACACTGAGCCACTGTCTCATTGGCTACCTTCAACCCAGAGAGCAAGTGAATCACATGAGACCATCCCACAACCAGACTGTTATCGCTTTGTGCTGAGAGAACCCACCAGCATTGTCATGTAGCCGTGGCCTGACATCAATTGACCGACAATGGCTGGTCTCCTGATCTCTGCAGATTGGATGCCAGCTATCTGTCACCTGACTACAGGATTTGTCTGAAATTTGAGATAGTGTTCAGAGGGATTTTACTGAAGTATCCTATTTGCGTATATTATGTACTTATTTCTGCCAAAATTTTTATATTCTATGCTTGTAACTTGAAAATGAATGTTTGTTGCATTCAAAACATAGTTAATAAACTAGAACTACTTCCAGAAATATGCCTTTTGATCTACCACTGTCATTTGAAGAACTGTCCAACTCTCTCATAATTTAAATTACAAATTATATTAGGCACAACATTGGTTGAGGACCTGTCTTTGCTTCAAAGATACCGAGGCGTGGCAGTTGCCAATTACTCTTCTACATTTTTCATTACTTTCCATTACAATTACATTACTCTTCTCTTCTACAAGTTATGCTCATATATCTGATAGGGGATGATTGTTACAGACCTACGATACATTGCACATATTATGATTAATGTTAGTGATGGACAACTATTGAAACAAGCTGCAGAACTATCCAAGCAGTGTTGATGGAGTGATCAAGTGTTTGTGATTGAACCTGCAACTGAACATGAACATGGATTCAAAATCAAGATGTCTTGATGAGAACCCAGAAAAAAAGCCATTATTTTGAACAAAATACCCTAAATTAGTTTGGAGTAAAGTTTTTTTGTCTTGATTTCATTTTCAATGTGGAAGACAATATTTAGGCCATAGTGGAATTTGCATCAAATCATTAATATTACTCAGAATTCCAATAGAAAAAGTTCACCTCCCTACAGGGACAATTTATGCTCAAATTGTTATCTATTAGCAAGCTGTCTGACACAATGGCAACTGTAAGATAACCTGCCCTTGCACTCTATAACTGAAACTAGCCTCTAGCTTGAATGTTTGATGAAGGTACCATTTTACCATTGCCAAGGCCCTGTCTCAATAAGCTTACAGTACAATGGAGATTTATTTAACCCTTTACGCCCTGGCATGACGAATTCGTCACACAGAAAAAAACATCGGTTTTCCAACAATTTCACGTTTTCTGTCATTTTATGGAAAAATTCATAAGAATAAAAAAAGTCTTAGATTTATTTTTTACATATGTGTACCAAGTTTCAAAGTTATCTGTCGGTAAGTAACCGAAATAAAATTTCCAATTTCCAATGGCAATGTTCAATTTATTATGGAAATTCTATTTCGGTTAATTACTGACAGATAACTTTGAAACTTGGTACACATATGTAAAAAATAAATCTAAGACTTTTTTGTTTGTGGGAATTTTTCCAAAAAAGTGAAAGAAAATGTGAAATTCTTAGAAAACTGACAAAAAGGGGGTACTGTAGAAATCTATCACCTCCTATGATTTTTGAGCTACAACATCGAGACGAATACCATTCGATGCGAAAGGACCATATCTATCGATTGGTCCTTGCTGTTTTTCAAAATTCTAATTTTTGTGGGTGGGGTGGGCATTTTTCGAAAAAAATTGGTTTCTCCCCCCATTGGATAGGTCAGAATGTCAGCTTTGAAGTGAGACTTAAAACAGAAAAAGTGAATTTTACGATTTTCATCCCAGAAATTCAGGGCGTAAAGGGTTAAGTTCTTTTAAATGAATTTATTTACTCTTCTTATTTGTTACAGGATAAGTGTTGCTGATCATGGATATCAGCCTCACTAAAGTAGAAGAGGCTATTATTCAATTTTATGAAAACCCTAATGGAAAAACTGACATTCATCATTGGCTTACTTCAATACAACATTCTACACATGCATGGACATTTGCATTCAATTTGTTGGATCCATGCAAGGTGAGTTAATTGCATTGGAAATAGTGTAACCAATATCTTACTGTGTATTTTTTTCAAATTATGTACACATTTCTAGGTGTCGATATTCTTTATCAGCACCAACTGTGTCTTCACTCTATACTACGACTGACCTAATATTATACCATCACAAATTTTAGCATCAATTTCAATTCCAACTTTTACTTTCAAGTATTGATGCTGAGTAAGTATTTATTTGCATTATTCTGCTGAACTATAAAAAGTTAGCTTCATAGTTTGTAAATGGTTATCTGATATTTATTTAATGGTTATTCTAACTTGTTGATTTCTCTCTTGCAGAGCAATGAAGTGCAATTTTTTGGAGGCAACACAGTGTACATAAAGGTATCAAGATATTGGCATGAGCTGCCAAAAGAAGAATATGAAGGCCTTAAAAGAAAACTTTTGGAGATGATTGCTAAGTTTGCTGATAACAAACCTATTGTTGGACGTCTGCTAAAAGCTGTAAGTGTGAACAAGAAATGATAATTTTTGTTTCAAGTGTCAATAGAATATATCATTTTAATTGTGCTTACAGGTTGGAAATATGAAATAAACAGATTTTTGTTCTTTTCATGTCATGTATTAATTTATTATCTTATAAAGGATGAGCCATGGGAAATCTAGAAATGGCTTCTAGGTGAAGATTTATTTTGTTACTTTGTATCTCCTCTTTATTTATATTGTCTTTTATATTTATCAGATGGCAGCTTTTGTTCTGAACACAATTGACAATGACTGGCCCACTGCACTAGAAGACTTGGTGTCAACTTTCAATCCTGATGCAGTAACTGCACTACTTCCCAGCACAGCTCTAGACCTGCTCTTCTCCCTACTTATGATCATTCCTGATGAGGTTACCTCAGCTCATTTTATTAAAATGAAACATATATATAAGTGTATGCTGTTCTAATTGAGATTTTTTAAAAATAGATCAGTATATTGAAATTGTTTGCAATATTAAGAAAGATGTATGATTGTTGTTTTTACCTGGAGATGGTGGTATTCTTGCTCTATTTTATGAGTGATTCTAAGAAAAAGAAGTGTTTATATAATGATGCTTTAAGTTGCCATTAGATTAAAGCTAATTTTGAAGCATTTGCTTCCTTCACAGCTGGAAAACTGTCATGAAACCATGGGAATTCCACGATCAAAAAGGAACCTCATCAAATCCAAATTACACCAAAGCTCCAAGGGAGGTGAGCAGTTTAATCCTTCTCTCATGTGAATATTTATTCAAGCATAATTTTCTATTGGTTTTAGTTCCATCCAATAGTCCTGTTGTTCATTATAAAATAACCGTTGTTACCGATCCTGTGAAAATCATTCGTTTTGCAGTGCTCGCCTAACAAGCTCCTGTATTTAATTTTATTTTTTTCCACTTGATTAAGCCTTTTATTACTTAGCAAGCAAATGCTATTCAATTGAAATATATCATTTATTTTTCAGTGCTCACTTTAATGCGACAAGTTATTGAAGCTAACCAAGTGAGCAATTTGGTGAAGGAAGTAGTGATCAAGGCTCTGGACTCATGGCTGCGCCTCCCTCTTCCTCTCAGCGACACCAAAGATCTTCTAATTTTATTAATCCCTTACAGTAATTATGGACTCTTGTGTGAGGTAAAGGTTCTATAATTTGAATGTTTTGAGAATTCATTTGACACTATATTAATTAACATGTGATGCCTAATAGATCTATAATGCAATATATTGCATCACGTAGTATTGAATTTTTACTCCTTGTTTCCATTATGTTACCTATTGACTGATCTATTTCTTATAAAGTTTTTTTTTTCATGTTATGATGGTGATCCCTAAGACTTCATTACTGCCATTACCCTAAGACTTCATTACCTCATACCTCATTACCACCCTGCAGAGTGTGGTGGAGTGTCTCCGCACTGCCTTAACAGAGTACGACGGTAAAACTCCACACACCACAATGCAGTTCATTGTACAGCTTCTTCAATTAACTTCTGTGCTTGATGAGGCTCTTAATGCCGAAGACGAGGTTAGTTTCTACTATGATTACCTACCACTAGATAGTCTTTTTTCCGCAATTATATAAGCTACTTTTAAAGCTTTTTATTATTTAAAGGTACCCTGAACTAGTAATGTAGCATGGAATAATTAGATTTCAAAATTCTAAGACAGTTGAAATTTTATTGGCAAAATGTAATCACTTCAAAGATATCAATGTATTTCACGGATAAGCCAAGGCTCTTGAATTTCTAGCGGTTACTTCTCTGCCCACAGAACACTGCAAGTTTGATCTACGGTTTATTTACTTCAATTGTTGAAAATCATTCAAAACTTCTTTTAAAAGTTGCCCTGGAAGACCAAGGGGAGCAGAGGGCTGCTGTACTACAGGTTTGTTATGCAGACATTTCTATTCTGTATTTTACTTCACTGAATGTATTTTTACATTGCTATGATTTTGAACAAAATAAATTTTCTTACATTGCCTTAATTTGAACAAAATAAATTTTCATATATTGCTGGAATTTTGAACGAAATAATTTTTTTTACATTGCACTGATCTTGAATGAAATTAATTTTCTTACATTGCTATTATTTTGGATAAAATAAATTTTCAAACATTGCTATAATTTTGAGAGAAATAAACTTTCATGTACTCTGCTTATAAAGCGAGTGGAGAGTTGAAGGACTTGTACATTTTGAATCAGAATCTTGAATGATTTCAGCTATATTTATTGTTTCACTATGGAGTTTTCAATATTTTCTAAGGCATTCAGGCCATTGTACTTCTCGAAACGGTTTTTGATCGTAACTATTTCCAAAGATTTATAAACTCAATGTTCTCTGCAGTTGGTGTCTCTGCTGGTGCAGTGCAGTGGCACTCCTGGCCAGTACCCGACACACGAGACGCTCTCTAACATCCCATTCAGCGTGTGGTATACAATACAGGTGAGAGCACTGGAAATGGTTTTTGATCGTAACTATTTCCAAAGATTTATAAACTCAATATTCTCTGCAGTTGGTGTCCCTACTGGTGCAGTGCAGTGGCACTCCTGGCCAGTACCCGACACACGAGACGCTCTCTAACATCCCATTCAGCGTGTGGTATACAATACAGGTGAGAGCTCTACATGTAATGTTGTCTATAAGCTTCATTGTGGGACACTTAGTCTGCATGTCAGCACAGGTATTTACAATACCAGTGATAGCTTTGGATGAAATGTTATCAATAATGTTAATTCAAGGCATATTTTGACAATAGGAAGATGTTTTAACCGTATGCCGTTTCATCATTTGAGTTTAAGCTTTCCAAGAGCACGTTTTTTTTCACCATTATCTACTGTCGTAAAAGCTTGAGCTGTTTCAGATAATGCAGGGCATTCTTTTCTGGTTTTTCTCTTACGATGTGAGCTTGAAAATTGGTGAACAATATGAAATTCTTTCTTTTTTAGGACGACTTGTTATCGTTTGAGGGCAACGATCGCGTGCTGCTGATGTCGCTGTTCTCTCCCGTATACCTTCAATTAGTGGACACATTTTTGCACAAGAGCCTCTTGCCTCCTGATGAAGCCCTGACTGCTGAAGAAAAAGAGCTCTTCCGCTGCTACAGACAAGACATTTGTGATAGTTATGTACGTTGGAAAATATATCCAACGAATAGATATGTTATTAGGATCCAACTAATCTTGGACCCTTAGTACTATGTACATTGTGCAGAATTTGCTCCCAAATTGAGTATTTACATTTATTTCATGCTGTGAATTGACAATTTGACTTGAAATCTTATCTTTCCACACCTATTATAGTTTTTTAAGTGTAATTATATTAGAATGACCCGTTTTTCAGTTATTCAGCAATGATGGTGGTTGATTAACCTAAGTTACAAAATTAATTTTAAATTTGTTTGAGGTTTACTCTTTTTTCATCAATCTGAAAGTTTGTTTACCACTTTCAGATGTACACTTACTTCATATTGAAGTCTGCAATGCTGGAGAAGATGGAGCGACATTTGGAGCAGTGCATTGAGCGAATACAAAGAGACTCCCGAGACTGGCGGCCTCTTGAATCATTACTACACGCATACGCGTCAGTCGCTGAGACTGTGGCCGAGTCAGACACTGAACACGTTCCCAGATTTGTGCAATGTATGCCTCTTATTCCTTTCGGTGACAATGTCCATCTCATAACCGTGGCCCTGTCAACCCTGGGTGCGTACGCGGACTGGCTAAACTACCACCAGGAATTCTTGGAGTTCGTCATTCCTCTCATGATCGAGGCGCTTGACAACGAGCACCTCGTAGGATCTGCGTCTCAGGCGCTCAGGGATCTCACTCTCGAGTGCCCGGTCACGATCGCGCCTTTTGCACCTCCTATTCTCAACGCGTGCCAGGTATTACAGCGGATTTTGTGTCATTTAAGCGTGCTTTATAATTTAACTTGGCAGATATTAGTGCTGCATGTATTGTGTCTTTGCTTTACTTCGAATGTTATCTAATGTTGAAGCAGTGGATAAATAATTGGCATCTAGTTTGAATTCAATGTTCATAGTTGTAGGATCACAGAAATTGTTACTTCATGATGTGTGTTGACTACAATGCTAATATGTAATTGATAATTTTCCCGCGATAATTTTCCGATCAATTCATCATTTTTTAGTGTAAAATAATATTTATTGAACTTGATAGCGGGAAATAGCTGCCTCAACTAAATTCTTATGACCAAGTACTGATCAATTGTTTCGCGATTGTCAATTATTCGATAATTGAGACTTTAATTTGTTGTCTGTTATTGACACCTTTGGTGTAGTTCTTAGCGAGGGAATCAGGAAGTAGAACCTGAAATCTCATGTTTGTACAAAGACCCGGATATTTATGTGATTTTTTGACAATATTCAGATGATAGCGCTTGCAGCGTGCGCTAGTGCGATGTTGGTGCTTGTTTAGACTTGATCTTTTGATATTTGGATGACTTTTTCGAGATAATATTCATATAATGTTAATTGCTTCACCTAAACTCAGATATTTAGATGACTTTTACTGGATACTATTAAGATGTTGCTATTTGCCTTGACAAAAACTCGGATATTTAAATGAGTTCTTCTAGATAATATTTATTCATTACTGCTTGCAGAACGCGCTGGTGCAGTTCCCCCAGTCCGACAGCGCTGTGAAGGAACGCATCATCACAATCATAGCGCGGGTGCTGAGTGTGGGGCTTGAACAAGAAGTTATTATGAAGCATCTTAACCAGACCCTCACGCCCATCATATCTCAAGTCGATGCCATCAAAACTGCTGCCCAAGTGCGACTTCTTTTATTAAAATAAAACTATGAGTTTGGGATGTATTCTTTTATACTTTGATATATGATTATTCTATAATTGTACAGAGTAATCATATACTTATATTATGTGGTTTATATATTTATCAGCAGGTGTGGTGCTTTTGTAAACAACTTGTTATTAGTCTATATACTACTCTGATAACTGATTTATATGTCTGCTCTTGTGTATTATCTATGCTTGAGTTCTCTGTTCGTTTGGGCTAATTATGAAAGTCAGTCGATATTTTTATTATGTTATTCATGAATTTTTGTTTACGATTTTTCTTATTTGTTTATAGTTTTTGTATCAAAATTTATTGTGAAAACTTTTCTCTGTATTAAAGTATGTTAGTCATTATTTTGGGTCAGGCGAATTGTTTTTATTTTTCTAAGTTATATTATAACCGAAACTTCTCTGTGCAGATCACAGGCCGGCACAGCAAAGAACAACGGCACCAGCTTGTTCATTTAGTGAAGCTTCTATCATGCCTCGCCCGCCACCTCAACTCGAACACCACAGCCTTCACGGATCCTGTCAACCACTCCGGCGATGGTTCTTCGGTGCCGCCGTCATGTGCTGCTGCAGGGGATGCTGTGGTGCCAGGGTCTTCTGAACCCTCTCAGATCCAACACTCTTCCGTTAGTTTATTCTTTCAACTGTCAGCAGCTTCAAGGGTCTATTTATTACTTATGTTCTTCCGTTGGTTTATTGTTTCAACTGTCAGCAGTCTCAAGAGTCTAATAATTCCTTACGTTCTTCCATTAGTTTATTCTTTCAACTGTCAGCAGTCTCAAGGGTCTATTTATTCCTTACGTTCTTCCGTTGGTTTATTGTTTCAACTGTCAGCAGTCTCAAGAGTCTATTAATTCCTTACGTTCTAATGAAGAAATTGATTAAATTTAGAAATTTTTATGCAGAGGAATTTCACATTTCATCTCTCAACCAGTTTTTGTTTCTTTCAATTGACTGTGAACTGGGTGAATTTTCCCCCATTTTATTCCCATTATATGTTGTTTGTTCAAATATTCACTGTCTCAAATTATATTATGGTATTGTTTCCAAAATGTTTCGTTTGTATCAAGTAAGAGCTTCCTTGATATTCATTTAATATTCCCCATGTTTGTCCTGTTTCCTGCTATCAGCACTTTTAGGAATCTCGCTGCTCGGCAAATAAATTTCAAGGATTTATTTACTCTGCCTAGTTTCTCGGGTAGCAATCTTGACTATCGATCTATTTTTTGGTGTGAGGAATTTTCATATTTCGTATGTTTTGTTTTTTCTTAGACTTTTCTGTTTTATGTGAATTTTTCTGGCAAGCGAGACGCCTGGCGCAATGAGTTTTGATGCTTTTTTCACTGATAGTAAGATTACATTTTCAAGAATTTTTACATTTACGTACATTTTAAAAAAACAATGTTTTCTTTCTGGTCAGGACAACCATTTGTTGGATTAGATTTAAAATAATGCATTATGACTGCAAAGCTATTTCTATATCGTTTGAAAGTTATGGTTCATTTCAGTTGATGAAATAAAAAGTTTATTTTGAAGGCCGGTGAGATAAGTGCTATGGCGACTCAGTGTCATTGACGAGTTTCTCTTTGACAGGTGAGCAGCAATAGCAGCACCGAGCAGCCTCTGTTGATGGTGTTGCGTCTCGTACTTCCAATACTGCTGGAAATCATTGACATTGAACTTCAGCCTGATATCATTGAGGTAAGCTCTTTTATTTTTCAGTCTTTCCTGATGGCCTGTAACTGTCTGAAAAACTGTAACTGTCTGATTTATAGCCTGATACTGTCTGATAGCTTGTAACTGTCTGATTTAAAGGTTATTCCACTTATTGTTCTGAACTCAACACTAAGGAGTTATAAAGACTTGAGCTTCATCTAACGCTAAATGCACAAAAACTATTCGAAAATCCAGTGTCTAGCTTACTGAATTATTTTTAGGGTTAATTTTTAATTTATTTTATTTTTCTTATTCATTTATTTTTTTTTCGCTTACTAATTTCAACTGGAACTACTGTCTTCTCAGGTGGTGTGCAAGCTCCTGAAGAACAGCTTAAGCACTCTGCTCTCAGACGTGGAGCCTCTCATTCCCCTGCTGCTAGTCATGGTGCCTAAACTGTACTGCACTTCCCTGCATCCTGCCGCACTCGATGTCATCAAGCTGGTCCGTTGCTAGACTTAGATCCATCTTTCAGTTTAAGAACTTTGTGCGTTGGTTTGAAGCTGTGACACTGTGAATATTCTAGAGCTTTGTTCGAACGCGTATCCACAATTACCTTCTATGAAACGTATCTATTACCTTGCAATGGCGCTATTACCTTGTGTGAAATTTTAGATTTAGTAGGTTGAATCATGAGGCATTGCTAGACCCAGTTAGGATTCAAACAAATTTGTAAAAAAATGAGTATTGTATATCTTTTCAATTGACTCAAATAAGGATTCTTAGTTGAACGAAGCTTCTAATTTGTTATTATTTATTTAATTTTTCTTGGAATGGTTAAATTTGCTGGAAAGTGAATTTGATGTAAAGATTATCTATCTCAACCTGGGATCGCCTGTTTGTTAATATTGGAAATACTTATTGAAATGATTGTTAAAGTGGAAACTCGCATGCTCGTCATCTAAGTTCCCTAACATTTTGCGAACATTCGCCGCAGCTCTCGGTGTTGTTTGGGTCGCCGTGCAGTGCGCACGTATCGCAAATGCAAGGCATGGTGGAAGTCTCCCTTCAGTGCTCGCTGGAGCGCCTCAAGCCGGACCTGTGGCGCCACACGGACGTCATCAAATCCTTGCTCACCTTCGCCACGAACCTCGTCAGGAAACAGAGCCACATGCTCCACCCCAGTCACGTCCCTGCTCTTTATGCTTTAGGTTCGATCAGAAAGAAATGCGTGTGTTTTCTTTCAGGTTTTGTCTCGTGTGTATTTTCACTAGTGGATGGTTTTCGTCACTTTTACTTTGAAGCGCATCTCGTGTATATTTTTTCATGTTTTTACACAAGTCCTGTGATTTGTTGTTTAATAATCATTTATTTTTCTGAAACATTCTTTCTATTGCGGTGCAACAGAGTGGACTAGTACGCTATTTAATGGGTGGTGCCCCAGTAATATTTTGCAGTAATTTTTTATCAGTCTTCCAACCACAAATCTTTTATGAAGCGTTACTTTTAAAGATCCACGTCACTTGTGTAATTATTGTACGTTTTATGACATTTAGTTTCAGTATTATAAATTATATTACTTTTTAATTTAAAATTCTTTCCTCTGATCGTGGTCAACCAATATTTGAAGTAGGTACTAGATTTAAATTTTGTTTTTAACCAGACTCCTTAATATCAGAAACCGTAATCGTAACGTTCTATATAGCCTTCTATGCGTTACAACTACATGACATGATATTAAATTTTTATGCCGTGTCACATATCCAAATGATTTCTATTCTTCCCATGACAGCAATCCAAGCCCTGAACTTGCCAGAGGACTACACCGTTCAGGCCGCCACCGCCTACATCAACCGCTTCATTCAAATCAGCCGCGAGTCTAAAATCGTTCACTTCGAGGCGATCGTCGTCAACCACATGGAGATCTTGCTGCGCACCGTCATGAACTGCGCCTGTAAGCTCAAACAGAGCTATATCTTTGGACCCATTTGGGCCATTTCACTCTCACAATTTTACTCGCCCCATTTCACTCTCCCCATTTCACTCTCCCCATTTCACTCTCACAATTTTACTCTCTTCATTTTACCCTCCTCTTTTCACTCTCCCCATTTCACTCTTTCCAATTCACTCTCCCCATTTCACTCTCCCCATTTCACTCTCCCCATTTCACTCTCCCCATTTCACTCTCCCCATTTCACTCTCCCATTTCACTCCGCCCATTTCACTCTCCCCATTTCACTTTCCCCATTTCACTCTCCCCATTTCACTCTCCCCATTTCTCTCTCCCCATTTTACACTCCCCATTTCACTCTCCCCATTTCACTCTCCCCATTTCATTCTCCCCATTTCACTCTCCCCATTTCACTCTCACATTTCTAGGGAATGGGAGAGTGACACAAATACCTTAGGATCCATTATTTTCTAATTTCATTGTATTGTACATAGAATATCTTCCTGTTATTATTTGCACAAAATGTTTTTGCTGAAATGTATTGTACCGTTGAAGCGTCATTTTGGAATTGAAAGAAACTATCAAATGAAAATGGTTTGGATGAACTGACATAATTGCATACTACTCTGGTCATACATAATGATCTTTATTTAAGTGGTCAATAATGATAATTGAATTTTTAATTAAGTATCATGTCTTCTGTTCAGGTCATCCTCACCGGCAGAATTTCCCGCTGTTATGTGACCTGTTGAGAACTCTTTGCAAGTTCTATGCGGGCCCGCAAATGCTGGCTTCTTTCCGGAAAATAGAGGCCGACGACTCGTTCCTCGGACAGCGACTCTCAAGACAAGACAAGCACAAGTTCACAACGGGTGTCATGGGGTTAGTGTGAAAATAATTCAATATTTATTATTTGTATTGGCTAATAATAATAATAATAAATAAATTCAGATGATTCAATAACAACTTTGAATTAACGGTGTTTAATCAAAGAAATTTGATGGTAAAATTACGCTCCCATCGATATTCTTAACAAGGATGTAGAGAAGCTATTCATAAATACTGATTTTCATTAAAAGTACAGTTCCGTTCAGTGAGCATTACAAATTCACGCGCAATTTCTAATTATTATGAGTTGAAACGTTTTGAATTTCCAAACACTGTCAGGTTGTATACTTAGTTTTCTATTTGAAATATTTTGACTAAGTTATAAAATTAATCATCAATGACTTCTTGAATTTTGAAACACTTTTTCTTTATGATCATTTTTTATTTGAAATGTTGTGACAAATTTAAAATCGACCGTTAATGACATTTTGAATTTGAAAACACTGTGTCTGCATTTTTTGTTAATTTGTTGACATTTCAAAATTGACAGGCGTTTTGACAGGCCAAAGAGGCGTTTTGAATTTGCAAACACTTTCTCTTGTTGCATGTTTTAGATTGCTTTGAATGTTTCGAGTAAAGTTTTGAAATTTACCATCGAAGACGTATTGAATTCGCCAACATTTTCTGTTATTGCAGCGCTAGTACCGTCCGAGACACGATGGCTGCGGTGACGGACTTGGCCCTCGCCAGTCGTGGTGTTGCGAGCACAGAGTTCGGCTCGACCTTCCCTGCCATCCCTGGAGTTCCTTACATGGATCCCAGCGCCCTCACACCCCCGCATGTTGGTCCATCCCCACCTTAATGTCCTGAGTGACAGGCGTCACGAGTTACCGTGACAACTGTCCCGAGACACGCCCGTAACACCTGCAAGTGACATGTCCGTGACACCTGACCTGTGACATGCCCTTGACACCTGTAAGTGACATGCCCTTGACACCTGCAAGTGACATGCCCTTGACACCTGCAAGTGACATGCCCGTGATACCTGCCCCGTGACCTACCTGTTCCAGCCCGTGACGCCTGTCACTTATAGGAGTTATGTTCCTTACACGCGTCAGACTTCGTCCATCGTTCAATGGATAAATTTTTTTGCTGCTCTTCTTCTGATGTGATGATGCGATGCTTGCTTCCGATGGTCGGCAGGACTGCAGCTCCTCTCGATCGCTATCTGAAATATTGAAATGAAATTTGTGGACAACAGTTTCTTGGGTTTTTTCTCGACTTCATTCTTCGCTTTGGTGGTTGATAGTGTTTGATATACATACTTTGACGTGTGTATTTTTTAGCTGATTAAAATTTTGAGTTTATGACTTCAAATTTTTATCTAATATTGACATACATTCATTTGCTTGGAGAGAAGTTTAAACTTCCTTCAATGGGCTTATAATTTAAAGTAGATTTGCATAAAAATCATGAGCTTCAAAATAACTATTTATTGACCATGAGTAAAAAAAGAATTGATTTCCTCATGGATAAATCAGCAGTTGTTTATCATGAAGCATTTACTGTGATAACATTTTGAATTCAATAACATTCGCCCATTTTTAACTAAGTTCAATTTCTAATAACTGACAATCGCCATTTAAAAGTCGCGATTATTTTGTAAAGATCGGTTTTGTTTTCTTTAGAATTACTAAGCTTAACAACTATGAATCTCGGTGTGAATTTGTTATAATTGTTTGTGTGTTGTTTTAATGCATACTTGATATTTTATTGAAGATTCCGTAAAATTGGATCTTTTTCACATTGTTAACATGGATGGCACTGAATCGTTCTATCATTTCTTTAGATAGAACACGTTGCATAAGCGTGTTGTGTTCTGTTTTATTGTTTGCGATATTTTGCTGAGTGCAAAATATTTACTTGTTTTTCAAGGATATTTGCATAAGCTGCCTTCGCTTTTTATTTGAATCGAAGGCATTGCACTGGTTTCATGGCTAGCGTTTCCCGCCATTAGAGTCGCATTCATAAATTAATTTTATTAAAACTTCTAGTGATTTTATCTAGGAAACGATACACTATTGAAATGATATCCTGGTATCGTAACCTAAAATTTCAAGTATAATTCTGCAAGAAATGATAGTTGTTGCTCATCATTCTGGAGTTAGGCGAGTGGAGGAACTTAACAAAACAATACAAAAAATCATGGTCCTTGGTATATACCATATCTTTTTTTTCTTTTCTTTTTTTGTTGAGGTTAGCGTTCATGAACACTTCATCCTTTCTTTCGTTTTGCACGCTCCTTATTATACGGGTATCAATATACTTATTATCCTATTACTTTCTTTTAAATTGTATATTCTGTAAATTTGCTTGTAATCGACAATAATCCGTGGATTTTCGTTTTAAGTTTCATTGAAATATTTTTCTGTGCAACTGTGTAATTGGTTCTGAAACAAACTTGCATTGTTTTGACATGGCATGATAAACATTCTTTGTTTACAAATCCCTGAAACTTATTTACGATTTTGTCTAGAATTTCAGTGTCATGCATGCATTCTCTCTCCTGAGTTCAAATCGTTTGTATGAACCTTTGAGAGTTGCGCTGGTGTATTAAAAGTGAACAATAAGGCGGGTCTACAAAATTTAGACATTTTTTGGATTAAATAGACGTTCGACTGGGGCTTCTTCGATCACTTTGCATTCTTAGTCACTCATCACCATTCATTGCGATCAAGTTCTTATTTTTGTTAGCTAAGAGTGTAAGTACAATAAGCTCTCTTATAATCAATGCTGTGTCTCTGTGGGAACGCTTTCTAGATTTAAATTTTCCACACAATTTACTGCTCTCTTGTGCGATGAATTTTTGCGGTTCATTTGAGGTAGCAATTGTGTCTTGAAATTTATCTTGAAACGAAGCGTTATAGTGAGCGTTATATTCGTACTACAAACTCCTCCATATATAACATAAGTAGAAACACTTCTTGCTGTATCATTCTGTCACAACTTCTTCCTATGTTAGAAAATTTAATGATGATTCGTGTTCATTTTGTGAAATTTTTTTTTGGCTGTTGTGTTGGTTTGTTTTTGTGTTACAGCGTTTTAATAATTTCTTAGCACAGCTTTTCTCCACTTTTGTGCTGCGTGCGTGTGTCGTTATTGTTTATATTGTTCAAAGTTATTGCTAGGCTTTGGCCGGTCGCGATCTCCCTGCATAAAGTTAACTAGTAATTTATAACGCAGGCTTTGTACTTACTTTATTTTTTGATCAAACTATTTATAAGTCTGCCGTAAAATGGGGCCTGTTTTTTGTGGCTCATTTCAGGCATCAACAAAGTTTTGATTCTTTTTGTACCTGCTTCTCAAAAATTTGAGGCATTCCGTCTTTCTCGCTGCGTAACAATATATTTTCTGGGTTGAACCATCTTATTCATATGGTGCACTCTGGTAAAATTCATGGGTCAAATATTCAAATAATGACACACGTGCTGCGATGGATGAAATATGCATCGCTATTTGGACAGAGTTTCGTTAATTTCTCTAAGTGGGGCCAAGTGAGTTGATCTTACAAACTTCGTCAGGTTTTATTCAATTTTTTTACTGTAAAACGAGCAGCTGCTACGGTGTAAGTCGCTGTAAGGATATAATACATATTGCAATTTAGATTAATTCGTGCTTAGTTTAGAAATTTAAATGCATGTTCTTGACATGTACCTAGTTTAGCAGAAGACGCTGTAGAAACTGTACAAATTTGTGAAAAGCTGCTTGTACATTATGTGCATTTGTTCCTGGTTATTTCCAACGAAACAATCCTCATGTTCCCTCAGCATTTCAATTCTAAGTTAAAGTTCGCCAATTCTGGAGCTAAATTGTTTTGTGCAACGTCATCACAGTAAAATATAAGCCGTCCTCTGTTTTTTATTACATATTTTCACTCTAGCATGAAGAGTTAGTTAAGTGGCCAAATGTTTACTAGCGCTTCAGCTATAGATATCTCGCACCAAAATTCAAAATGAACATCACCAATAAGGTGGAAGGTCTTAAGTTATCGAAAGTTCCATAGATCAAAAAATCATTCATCACCCACAAGGGGCGGAAGGCCTCAATTGTCCAGGCCGCTGAAGCTGACTCGAAAGAAGCAGCGTTAGCATCTCAAAAGAGACGAAGTGACAAGGAGGGACAGGTGAAAAGCAACAGAAACGAAGACACTCGAACAAGGGGTCGCTTACACGGGACGTCGGCCACCCGCACGAGAGACAGAGAAGGAAAATGTAAGGAATCCTGCCTACATAATAACTTAATCCCACAACTGAGGCCAACGGTCAGACACCGCGAGCTCAGCGGTGGGGCGCTCAGGAACAATCCCCCTAGGAGCGCGAAATTCTATATGATTTCTGACGAGCTCAGACACGCGTCGGGAGTACCCCCTGAGGAGAATATAGTAGTGAATGTGTCATAATGCCCAACTGGTGACACTTTCTTACAGCACGTGCTGAGGGCGGACGTAGAACTTATATATACGCCCTTTTCATTAATGAGCCAAACTGGGTCAGCATGACTCACACAAGGTCAGCATGACCACACAAGGTCAGCATGACCCACACAAGGTCAGCATGACCCACACAAGGTTAGCATGACTCACACAAGGTCAGCATGACCCACACAAGGTCAGCATGACCCACACAAGGTCAGCATGACCTACACAAAATCACATCAAATTACAGTCAAATTATTTCATTATCTCGCTGTATAATTTCTCTCCATAAGGATATCAAAGAGGACCGAAAAAATGAAATTGTCTTTTAAAACATGTCCTCCGGTAAGGCTAATCCTCTTATCTTGAATTTCGTGGAGGCAAATGACCGTCGGGCTTGCCACACTAGACAGACCTGGACTCTCATTTATTACACAGACTTGGACTCTCGTTTCGAACGGATAGAAATAATTCATTAAATTCAGGGTCAAGGATACTCGAGTGATCAAATGAAACCAATGTCAAATGACTTATAAATAGAACACAAATGTTCTATTGTAATGTTCTATTGTAAATAGTACACAAATCGCGATATGAACGTTCTTTACTTGAGCGCTTTTCACATATCTCTTCTAGCTTCTTTTCATATCTTCCAAATGATCATTTCACGATTAATTATAATGCATCATGTTATTTTTTCTAATGAATCGTTATTGTCCAGTAGCTATTTTTAAACCCGAGGAGATTTTCGACGCCACGGAATGTACTGAACTAATAATTTTCAATATAATCTTTTGCTTACTATGTTCGTGAACCGTCTTATTCGATTTAGATTTAATTTGCAATTTGCATCGCGGATTTACATCGATTCGATTATTCGATTTGCTGGCATTGTCGTTTAGTATGAATTTGCAATGGTCTTCTGAATTACAACGGAAGCAGCCTTACAATTATTAAAACCAAGCTCCTCTATTAAAGGATAAAATTAATCCAGAGTTTCCGTATTACAGAAAAAAATCAATACCGAGCTTCCGTATCTGAGGAAGAAGATAGACGATTTTTTGAGGAGAAAATTTCGCCAATTTCTTCGAAAGTTTTTCCTTTGGTCTCCACAACCACAGTAGCAGAAAAAATCGTGGCCACCACACAGATGCACGCGAAGAGCCAATAAAAGCCGTAACTTCCCAGGGATGCCTATTGGAATAAAAAAAATTTAACAGCCAAGAAAAAATTAACCCAAGATACCACCGATAGTGAAATGGTTTATATAATAAAGAAATACCTGTAAACAAATATTGCTGATAAGATTATTGACTTGTTTATATCATGAATTCTACAGCTCTCAATCTTCAATGTATTGTACAAATAAATGCTAAATGAACAGATCCGAAAAATTAATATTTTATAGCAAGAAACGAGTGTCCGAGATCATTAAATGTATTACTCAGAAAACTTCTGGTACATTTACGGCACATACCGCAAACTCAATGGCTTAAGACAATCAATAGATTTAGTTATGGCTCAGTCTCGAAATTTACGGCTAACACTAAATGGATGGTATAGAAGACGAAAATATAGTTCAGATTATCTTTCACAATATGATACAGCAACTTTTTGTCACAATATGCTTAAATATATTATTCATAATACGGTTACCTGTAGCGGCTCGAAAGAGAATATGACGAAGAAGGAAGCTGTCCAGTTGGTGACGGTAGCTAGCGAGCTGGCGGTCTCACGGATGCGAGGTGGAAACAATTCGCCTGGAAAATATACCTATGTTTACAAATTGCTAAAATTTATTTCATTAAACAAACTATGCAGAAAGAAACGATGTCAACATCGTACTTATAAATCATGAATATAGATTCTCAAACTATATAATATAACATCATAGTGATGTTAGCGCAGAAGAATAGGCCTTTGATGTGGCTTGTCGGCGACAGGTCAAGAGTTTGTTGAACGGGAAATGATCACTTCTTCACAGGCGATCTAAAAACGGGTCCTTTGAGCGGATATTTTCAAAACTGACGATAGTTTGAAATAGCTACTTGACTTCCATTAAGTTCGAGACGGTGCTACGCATTTCAAGTCTGAACATATATTTCTCCTTAGCTTTATCTCGTCTGTTCTTGAAAGCCTTTCTACTCGAAGCGTCATCGATGTAATCAGGGATAGGCTGTTCCACATGTCGGTGACTCGAAGCGTGGGGAAATGTTGTCACGTGGATGAGTTGCAACGCAATTTTTTTTAGTTTATAGCTGTGGCCCCTGTATACTGTAATCTTTCTGTTCATTGTTCTTCCCCAGGTGAATTACTTTGCACTTGCCAGCATTAAAACGCAGCTGCCACATATGAGCCTAGTTAACTAAACTATCAAGATCATCTTGCAATTGAAATTTATAGGACACAACCTTAACTGTATTATAAACTCTTGTGTCATCGGCATACATTGAGCACACGCTTGACACTACTTCTGGCAGATCGTTTATGAAAGCAACGAACAAATGAGGCCCAAGAACGCTTCCTTGTGGCACGCTACTACGCACTGTTAAGCAGTCTGATACGGTTCCGCACTGACGCATTATCGTCTTCCTACCAGAAAATCTCTGATACATTGGAGTACGTTTTCCTCCATTCCAAAAGGCTGCACTTTACGCAACAGCCGCTCATGCGGAACACTACATGTCAAATGCTTCGCCAGAATCGAGGTACACTGCATCCACTGGCTCCCTTTCCTACAGCAGGCCAGTCCAATCATTCAACGTAGATAAGATGTTAGCGGTGCAGGATCTACCGGCAGTAAAAACCATGTTGACAGTCTGATAGGAGATGGTTAACAGGCAAGTGATCGATAGTCCTATCCCTCACTACAGATTCCATTACCTATAGCAGATTCAATTCCATTACCTTACAATCCGCGTTTGTGAGACTGACACGGCAGTAGTTACCGGGGCTACTCTTGTCACATTTTTTCGAACAATGGTGTCACTTGACCATCTTTCCCATCGGCCGGCAAAGTACCTTCGTTCAAGGTTTTTTTTTTTTGAAAACACTGTCAGAGGGCCGGCCAGGACGGTTGCTAACTCTTTAAGCAATCTAGAGTGGAAGCCGTCTGGTCCACATGACTTGTTGGGATTCAAATCGCCCAGGCGCTTGAGAACCACTTCATGTATTTCAAAACCTGTTAACTTCGAGCCTACTGGGCGCTCCTCAATAGCTGGAATACAGTTCAAGTCCTTATCTATGAACAGACTGCTAAGAACTGAATAAGAACGTTAGCCTTGCCCTCATCAGAGGATATCTTGTGTTGATCTAATTCCAAATCTGAAATACCGTCATTTGCATTGCACTTTGAACTAGCGTACAAAAAGATAGCGTACAAAAAATGGCAGTAAAAAAGTTTTTAACTGCGGTGTGACAGATTTTTTCAGTTTGAATTCGAGCTCCCGTCCCGCGTACAGGTTATAATCAACATCGCTGCGAGTTCGTAAATAACGCTTGTAGGCTTCCTTCTTGGTCTTTAGCTTAGCTATAACTGTACTATTCATTCACTTGGACTTGTTGACTCTACCAAGCCTTATCATAGGTACACACGCATCAACTGCAGACATAACCGTGTCTTTGAGAAATGACCATGAATCAGCCACAATCATGTCCTTAATTCAGTCCGAAATATTCGCCGCACTCACTGCTTCACGGAGTTCAGCATAGTCTCCTTTCGCAAAATTCAAACGATCAAGCTTCCGAGGCTTCTTTTCAGGATAGCCCTCAATACCTACTGAAAAACAATAATTGGTGGTGGCTTTTGCCCAATAGAACCTCGGGGCGAAGCTCTTCCAACACAAGCTCATCATTTTTCGGAGCTGGTCTCCGAAAAATTTTAAATGAAAATAAGGTGAATTTGCTTGACGATTTTTTTGCTTTTAAATTCTTTATGGATTTAAAATTAACAGACTAAGGATGGAAGCACAAAATTTCCAAGAATTGCGCTGCTGAAAAGAGGTTTTATTCCGATTATTGAATGATCTCGTGTTTGATAAAAGATAAATGATAAATAAATAAATAAATAAATGATAAATTTGATTGCGCTGATAAATGTATATAACTTTTCAAGACTGGTAGTTGTTGCGGTGGCACTAGAAATGTATGGAAAAAGAACAAAATGTAGCACAAATTAAGCAGTCAGAAAATTGGACGTGAAATGAAAAACTTTTTGTTCAAGAACAAACTAGACAAGGGTATGAAGTCGCATATGTTCAGTTTTGAAATGCCCAGGACCTTACGGACCTAACAAACGTCTACCAGATACATACATGAATTTCAAAACAACGCCAATTTAGAAAAGATATGGTCAAAAAGTCGGTTCTTAGTTCCCCTGTAAACAAATTACGAAAAGTACAAGAATCGGCAATAGGCCTTATGAGCCAGCTTCTTCAGCGCCGAAATTACTAAACAATACCAAGACGAGTAGTTCATCTCACTCATGGGTTATTATAATATTAGTTTATCTCACTCATCATGACCCATGGTACAGGTCCATATCCCGCGGAGAATGCCACCTGGAACACCATCACTGCCAGCAAGGGTAGCCATGAAAGATATTGTTGTGTCCAAGCCTCATCTGTCTCCAACAGGTAGAAGAAGAGACCAACGCATGCTGGAATGTTGAGATATTAATAATTTTAATGATATCAGGTGATTAAGCAATTTATGGTAATCATTATCGCTTACGCAGAACTTGCGATGCTCTACTTTCATTGATGAATGATTAGGCATATTCTTCTAGCCGGTATTAATAATAATCAATTTCTCCATACAATTAATCGTTCACCGTTTGAAATTTTTCTTGTGGTTTTACTCTACAAAAACCGGCTTATTGACCCAAATTATCATGGGTCAATATATTCAACAAAATGTCAATATATTCATCATTGACGAGATAAACCATACCGTAACTCTCTATATATTCATCTTTCATCTTGGTTGATGAGATTCATCCTACTGTGAATTAATCATCTTATTCTTATCACCGTGACTCGATATATTCAACTTCAATCTGATACGAATCTTACCGTGATATGATGATAATGTTAATGATATGAAACTTACCGTGATATGATGATGATGTTAATGATATGAATCTTACCGTGATATGATGATAATGTTAATGATATGAATCTTACCGTGATATGATGATAATGTTAATGATATGAATCTTACCGTGACTGAGTCCCATAACGACAGCCGATATGACAAGCAGAAGCTTCCTGCCTGCAGTTTCAACCAAGAAGAAGGAAATGAACGTAGCCAGGGTCTGCACCAGCGCGCATAAGATGCTACTGACCTCTGAAGACAGACCGCTTCCCGCACTCTTAGGTTTAGAAACATGGGCGTTACATGCGTTAAAATACGTTGCTTGCGTCAGCATGATGGTAATAAGCATACCTGAAAACAGGCTATAACTATGGAAAAATATATGTTCAGATTTGAAATGCCTAGCACCATGTCGAACCATGTGGAAGTCTAGTCTCTATTTCAAAGTATCGTCAGTCATAAAAAGGTCCGATCAAATGACACGATTTTAGATCTTCTGTGAACAAGGCACGAAAAGGAAAAGAATCGGCGACAGGCCACATCAGGCCTACACTTCAGCGCCGAGATCACAATGTTATGTCACTATGTTATAAGCATACCCGAAAAAATGCAATAACTCTAATGGAAACGCTCGTTTTGTATAAACATGGGTGTTACACGCGTTAAAATACGTTGCTTGCCCCCTGCATAAAGATTATAAGCATACCTACCAAATAAACACCTGTTAGAACTCTCAGAATGGTTAATTTTTCAGGCTAATTTACTGTTATCTTTTAACCTCGTAAAGAAATGTTACAAGTTGATTTCGTTATTTGAGCACTCGGTTAAGCACCTTCAATGTCATAATAAATTCCTGGGTATGACGTCACCTTAAATATAGTGTCAAGATTAAAGACGAAGGCGTTGATGCCACAGAGCTGTTGAAAGGCCATGAGACCAAGCACGATGACGAGTGGACGGGCGACGTGTGACGAACACAAATCTGACATCTTCATCTTATGTTGCTTCGCCTCCGCAGCGGCCTCCTCCAGCAGTTTCAGCTCCGGCAATACGTCCCATGAGCGTCCTGCGAAATTTCCCTTAATGTTAAACAACATAAATTAATATTTCTTATGAGGCAACCAATTTTATCTACAACAATCAGTCCAGTTCAATTTTCTAATTATTTATAAGCAGTATTACGTATCAGAAGTATTATATGTATCGGATATATTATACGTATTAGTCGTATTATGTTAGTACTTATATTATCAGCCTGCTTATGTCGCAAGTTCACAAGGAATTTAAAAGCAAAGAAAACACCAAGCAAATTCACCATATCGATATTGAAAACGTTTCGGAGTCCAGCTCCATCATCAGTTCGAAAAACTAAAAATGAATAAAATCGTATTATTATATAAAAATTCTAAGACAGATATAAAACCTAAACAAGATCTTACATTATATAAAAAAAACACTCGATTGGAACAACTTAGTCCTAGGGTACACGAAAAGAACATAAAAGCCTAGTGATAAACTATTTGCAGATTATATGAACTAAACGCATCTCTGAAATCTCTACATATCTTCAAACGAAAACCGTGTCTCAATAATGCGTTTAGTTCATATATTCTGGAAATAGTGAATCGCTAGGCTTTTATGTTCTTTTCGTGTACCCAGGACTAAGTTGTTCCAATCGAGTGCTTTTTTAAATAATGTTAGGTCTTGTTTAGGTTTTATGTCTGTCTTAGAATTTTGATATAATAATATGATTTTATTCATTTTTAGTTTTTCGAACTGATGATGGAGCTGGACTCCGAAACGTTTTCAATATCGATATGGTGAATTTGCTTGGTGTATTCTTTGCTTTTAAATTCCTTTAGTATTATGTTCATAATTATCTTGTAGGTTTGATTTTTACTATTAGTAAAATATATTTATAGCTCCATCAATAACGTTTTTTAAGCAAGACATTCAAAGAAAATGACGATGAAATATTTTTTTTTAAAGCTAGTGTACGTTACAATAGACCTCTCAGCTGCTGAAGGGTCTCTTCAGCCTTTTCTTTTCGTCCTTTGGTCACGAGAAACGCTGGGGTCTCGGGGTTGAAAAATACCAGAACAAAGAAAACTGCTGGAGGAACGCAACAGATGAATGCCAGGTCATCCCACCACACGAGGGCACCGAAGGAGTAGCTATAAACGATGCCTGTACCCAGCATCAGTTGAAACGAAGTACCTGCAGCAAAAACATGAAAATACATGATACCGTTTCCAATTTTATCTTTGTTTACCAACAGCGCGCCTGATAGCAACAGCGCGCCAATATTAGATAACAACATGAGTTTTGCCTGGTTATTTAAAAATACCTCAAACGCTATAGGTTGTGGTTGAATTTTTACCAAGCATGCCACGTATGTCACTAGAGGAGATCTCTCCGATGTACGTGTTGACCGCGACACATGTAATGCCCGTGAACATGCCTGTTAACGTGCGCCCCGTCACCAGGGCCCAGAACGATCTTCCGAATCCTAAGAAGTTCAAATGACAATTTATATTCAAAATGTTTCAGTATCAAGATCATTGTCCGAGTTTTTTATGGAACTCTAAATGGTTAAGGACATAGTTAATCACACAACTCGTGAGAACATCCAGGAAAATTTATACCTAGGAAGAACTGCTTAACATACGTAGTAAATTACAATGTTTTTCAAAACCACGCAACAGCCAGCGAGCCCATAAGGAAGCGAACAAGGCGTTGGGTCAACGAGAACTCTCTATAATCACAATAATGGTTCCCATAACTATCATTTTGATTACTCATTTCGGAGGAAAGATACGAGTAGGAATTCAAGATACGAGCATGCAGTCATTTCCTCGAGAAGCTTTCAGATATGCCAGCGTGCGTGATGCCCGATGGCAATAGATACGCATGCTCCATCACTCTCAGCTTATGCCGCACATATAACTGCAAGTCGAATACGGTATACGAGGCAAAATTTCTATTAATACCGATTTATAATCCGAAAACATTTCAAGTGTTAATTTTCGTTAATCGTTAAATAAGTTAGCGGAAAGAATGTTCATATAGAATAGAAAAAAATATCCAACTGATATTTTCCTCTTAAACGTTAGTCTCCCTCTCGTGTCAGTCCCGATACTCAAGCGTCAAGAAAACTTAAATTAATGATACAAATATAATATAATAAAAAATATAATCACACGTACCCAAAGCAAGCCATCCGGCGATGCAAGGCGCTACAGATAGAAGCATTCCACCTTTCCGGCCAGCGTGCTGTATGAGGACGCCTGCAAAAGCTCCGCCGATGAGAGCGCCGATGCTAAATGCGGATGAGAACCACGACAGTTGAGAGCTGCTCAGCGTAACTGATTCGGACGGAAGCATTTTCTGGTCTGTGGTCGTGGCCATGAAGAACGAAGCGACCGATTCGTAGGAACATAGAATGAAGTCTCGAGGCGAGTGGAAAGTTGTTTCTACACATTGCGTTGCGTAAGTGGAATTAATGATTTCTGAAGAATTGTTTATTTCGGGTTGACGCAGCTGCGATGTTGCAGGAGAGGCATACCCAATTATTGAGCCTACAGTCAAGGCTCCTATTGATGCTGGTGAAATGTTAGGAAATAACCCGTGTTAAAATATGTATGATTTCAACAAAATGTAATCATATAAGTGAAATTTGATATTTGTCTAAAAATATAACACTAATGAACTTTACAAGATACGTGCAAATATTAACAAAAATAATTGTTTCCCAAAAACACGTGACCGAGAATACGAACGTCGTTCCCCAACTTGAAGTATCTGCTAAAAACAATCTGAAAATCGTGAAAATAATAGAGGTCATGTTCCGTAATAAGATGAATAATATTTTCTTAAAATGTATCTCATTTAAAATAAACAATAATTATACTTCGCTTCTCACCGGAAATGGCAGCAAAATATTGGCGTCTGCGAGCAGGCCGCGGGGTGCCCACAGTTATGTGCAGAGATTGACGCGTAGATGGCATTTTAATGATACACAATTACTGCAAAATTTTCATTCTTTCAGCTCACTCGCCAGTCCGCAATTTCAAAGTATGTGCGTAAAATTTAGTCCTTAAACAGCTGGTTGAACTAATTTCGGTACTCGAAAAACTGAACAGTAACTACACTAACTTCACGGTTGACAGATTAGTTATGAAAAAAGGATGTATTCCTAGTAAAAACGTCGCGCGTATATCTTGGACCCTGAAACGCTGAGCATTTTGAACCGAGCTCGTCTCGCATACAAACCACAGTAATGCCCGGTTTCAGTTGAATGTCCATCAATGCAAGTTTGTCCTAAACTGTCAGCTTATCTTGATAACAGTGATGCCAGACTTCATTGTCATGAGAAAAGTACAGTCAGATCGGAATATCATGCTGTTCATTTCAGATGCTGCAAAAGTCATGAATGAGTCTTTATTTTGGATGAAGTTAACAAATTTTAGTTTATATATTAGGTTCTCATGGAATAATATTAAACAAAACATTAGAAGAAATATGTTCCTTTCAGCATAAATGAAGCCGGATGCGAAGAGCATATACATTTACTCTCGATGAAGCGGAGAAAACTTTTCATCGTTGATGTCATCAAGCCTCAGTGGTGGTAGAAAATCAGGCTCGAGTGACAAGCCTGAAAAATAGCGCACTTGAAAAGTGACATATTCAATTATGAAACCGCGATTAGATTAGTTTACTCACTGCACAATTACCGCCGGTGCATTGCTAGGCTATCAGTGTCGACCTAGTTAAGCAGCACACACTTGGATGAAAGGTTTCAGAAGAATAAAAACATTACCATAACACTAAAAAAATTACCGTCATTCAAGTCAGGATACTGTGAGTGTGAGATTAAATGCGTTTCATTAGCATGCTTTGTCAGACGTTAGCTGTAGCTAGCTACAGGAAGACATGACGTAACCGAGCCCCTCGAGGATCGTAGACGAAGTAGACGATCGTCTACTTCGAAACAAGTCTATAAGCTAGCGATATAATGACTTTTCTATACCACGATGAATAATTTATTCTATACCGTTTACGTCCATGAACCTTGGATGGTCGTACATGGGGTCGGATAATTGGAATAAAATAGGGGTGTCAGATTTAGGGTGCCAAAAAATAGGAGTGTCTGAAAAAGATAGGCTGTCACCGATTCGTAACCACACGGCTAAATCACCGATTTCAACCAAAATATTTTACTCTTAGCTGCGGTATTCGAACCCTCAACTCAAAGCTCCAATCATGGTGATCTTAACCACTTGAGCAGCCAGGGAGTAAACATGCATCAATAAATCTTTCCTATCGTACGCTCCTGCAATGAATTTGTTCGAATAATTGCAGGGACGCTCAAATTTTGACAGGTAAAAAACAAATATTGAAGTTAGTCTCAAGTATTTCTCAATTTATCTCAGCTGATAACGGCAAAAAAACCCTAGATTAGATATTTCATGACTGGTCAAGTCAGTCAAGTGCTTCAATATTGAACAAACGAATGATTTCACGATTAATACGCATAGAAGTTGAATCGCAGCCAGCTAATTAATAAATGGACTTATGATAGGGACTCGGTGAACAACAACCTAATTACCTAACCTTCTATCTATACTAATGTTAAATTTTAGTGATATTGATTCAAGAAGCATAAACTAAAGGCATATGAATATTTATTTAGCAAAAATAACACTTGCTGCCCGATCCGAGCGACACAGCAACAATATGACGACAACAATTTAAATGCAACATTTATACCAAGTCCATTCACTTTCTTGTACAACGATTCAAATTTAAATATTTCGACTCACAGTTCACCGTGTTTTGATTGAAATGTTAAGATATTGAATTACTGAATAATGTCATTGCCAATTTTAGCCGTCTATAATGCATCTCTACGTACCGGGAAACAGCGTCTATAGTCGATTCTAGTTCGACTATACTAATCGAATACTTCATGGAAATTTGATTTGTTTTCATCTAAAGTATTTTCATAGAAATAAATTAAATTAGAAAAAATTAATTAATTGACCAAATTGTATCACAGACGAAATGAGAACTTTGATGAAAGTGGTACATGCATCATCAAATTAGCGAATGGGTTGAAGAAAGCTAGCGAATGGGTTGACGGGAGCTAGCGAATGGGTCGACGGGAGCTAGCGTATGGGTTGACGGGGGCTATATAGCGTATATGGGTTGATAACGGCTCGTGCTCGGTACATGTTTGAGATCTACAATAAAGTTTTGCGTTTGGTCTCTTAGAAAAACACTCATGAGAAGATTTATGCTAATATGAAGAACGTTGTGAGTAACCAGTAAAATCCGCAAGGGTTCAAGAACGTCTGAAATAAACGAAAATTAATCAACAGTATTGGCTGATATATGAGCTGTGCGACTCAATGCTTATGGCGGCATACAGAATTATATGTATGTTGGAGAAGACAATTTTTTAAAATATCAGTTTCAACATCACTTGATAAATTCCAAACAAATTAATATTGAAATAAATTCATTATCACAGGGCAGGTTTATGCTGCTAATTCAATAATTATATACGGTATAGGAAGAAAAAATTTATCGAACGACATGATAAACTTTGAGCAAGCACTATTAATATGCCTTAGCACCTGCAAAGGATCGAAAGCGAATACGGTGAAAAATGCAGTGCTCCAATGAACGATCACCGCGAGAGCCGAAGCTTGATTCTCGACGGCAGGCGGCAGCACTTCTTTTGTACGACGTACATTGAAATATTGAAATTAGAACAAAAAATCATCAAGGAACGCACAATATACTATTTAACTCATGTAACACATGTTTTAACTTATGTCATTAAAAACGTAAACAGTATTGGTCTTCCAAACGTAGTACACATACCATGGTCAGCATTTCTGAATAAAGATATCATTTCTAAATTCGTGCACAGAATCAATCCATCGTATTGAGTAATTAAAAAAATATTAGCCGAGTCTATAAAACCCGTGGATATTGCTATTGCCATTGAATGTCACGATCTTCATGGAGTGAAGATTAAATTACGACCATTAAAACAAGATCGTCATGACTTACCAACAAGAATGAACGGAATGGTGCCGGCAACGATGCTGAATACAAATGAGAAAAGTAGGATGCAGATATGAGGTGTCCACGAAAAAATGCTTCCTCCACATTGACGTTTCGTCAATGTAGAGGAAGTAGAAGTAAACTCCAAAAAACACTGCAGTTGTGAAACTACTGTGACAAATATTTAAACAATGACATATATATTTGTCAAATAACGAAAAAAAATTTTCAACAACAAAAATATTTTTCGGCCTTTTTGTGACAACCTTGTTTGGCTGACGTCTGCGGATGCAAATTCTCCATCGTATGTGTTGACGGCCTCCCCGTTCAGCCCCAGAAGAGTCCACGTGAGAAGCAGGCCTGCAACGAGCATGGGGAAATTTTCTGCAGTACCTGAAAAAAAAAAAAAATTTTGCAATCACTATGAGAGTTGTAAAATTTACTAATGACAACTAAAAACAACTAAATGACAGGAAGAAATAAGTCGTTATAATCTCGTGAAAGTGTTACAAGAAGGTAATTTGCTCCTAGAGATATCGCAAATTTGTCGTCAAGATTTATTCGATCTTTTTCAAACCTCCACCGTTTAGTATCGTCTATAGCCCCTGAAGCTGAAATGTAAATCACGAGTCAAAATATACACAATAAATCAAACGTATATCAAAACAGTTACAAAAAAAAAATAAATGAGGATTTCGAAGCCGAAAAATTAATCCGAAGGCTTTGCGTTTTACATTTATAAAACAAGAAAAGTGCATGAGAAAGAAAAAGGTCCGACTCACCGATAAGTATCCATTCCAACATTGAAGGAAGAGCGGTATTTAGCCATTATGGTTCTCTTTCTTCCCAAGTACTACCACTGTAGCTGGTAGATGGTTAGGTGAAGATTGTGCGCTAGCGGGATAAGCGTAGTTTTGTTCGCAAAATCGGTCAAGTTAAGCACGATCACTTGGCTTCTTTCAGGCTCTATCGTCAGGATTGGTGAGGCACGATTATCTGGGTGGTTCGAAGATAAAAAGAGTGATGAAAACCAATTGTCACGGTTTCTTCGCAACATGGCTTTAAATCGGGACACTCGACAGTCACCGCCCTTCTCCCGATCGCGCACCAGATTGCGACGGGTTTCAATTCACGCCGTCCTCCAGCACGTATACAGTGGCAGCTGCGGTCGACCTATCGAAAGCTTTCGATAGTGTCGACCACCCTCTCCTCCTTAGCATGATCGCGGCCTCAGACCTACACCATAATCTGGTCCGCTGGCTGTGCTGTTACCTTAGAGGCAGGATGGCTTCCTGCCTCTATCTGAGAACAAGGTCCCCCTTCAGAACAATCCATTCTGGAGTTCCCCGAGGCTCGGTCATCTCGCCAGCCCTATTTAACTACTTCATCTCGGACATACCTGTTCCGACCCCTAACATCGCCTCATATGCAGATGACCTCANTGTGATGGGTCTGTCTCTTATACACATCTAGATGTGTATAAGAGACAGGCTATGCTTAACCGCCCGGCCTCCTTGCCGATTCTGACCAGAAACTGGCGCACAGAGCTGGGATCGAACCACGTCTCTCTGCTCCAATCTTGGTACTCTGAACTGTAACCACTGGGCCACCCTGCCCTAATATGATTCTCAACGACGAGAAGCTTCGTCATTTCAAGGGTCATCTATTGCACTAGACTGGAATAACGGCTACGTACTTAGTGTCCGGTTACTCAACACTGTCGGACGCTGCGTTCAAGCTAACTGAACGATATAGATCGTCAATCTTCTTTAGTGACTAAGTAGATTTATGAGACGAAGCAAAACGACGTGAAACGCTATGCTATAAAAACTCACTTATGATGGGGGAAAAGGTTACATAAGTAATTAATTACATACAGACGGAAAAATATACATGCTGACAGCCTGGCATGCATGGGACAGGATGGTCCATTGGTTATAGTTCGCAGTACCCTGATTGGAGCTGTGTGTGAGATGCAGGTTCGGTCCCAGCTTCATATGACTGTTCAGGCCACAATCGGGGAAGTGGTTGAGAAGAGGAAGATTAGAGCGGTGAGATGAGGGTTTGAATCCCCAGCAAGCTGCAAGAAATCCGTTTTCAAGAATGGGCGACAGGATAGATCTAGCCTACTCAACGCTGACACCACAAATACTTACGTCGCATTAGCAATCCAGAACATATTTCTTCGTTTGCCTGCACTAGAACAAATATTTTCTCACATTCAAGATGGAAAGAATTGCGATTACAATCAGGTTTATTTGCTATTGCAAAGTAGATTAAACGTCAATAGTATGCTTGCATGTACTGAAAAATACATTATGTTTCAAAATATTTTTTTCGATTTTAAATTAAATTCCATGTTGTTTGAGTTTCAGAACTTAAGTCAAACCACACATACTTTTTCAATGTTCTTTTTTGAAACCACTTTCAAATCGATACTTTCTTATTTTCGTGAAAGCTCTCTACATGACATCATAACGAAACTCATGTTTAGATTCGCACATGGTGCAGCACGGAAGAAAATGTGAAGGTGAATAAAACATATATATAACTATGATGGGTATAATTTCGTTACCTTATAAATAAATATCACAAATCTCACACGGGGTTCTCGTCTAAAATTACCAATAACGATGGAGTGAAAAATGCTGCTCATGAGTGAGCAACAGACACGCTGCTCACTCCTGTCACGCGTGAGCAACAGACACGCTGTTCACACCTGTTACACGTGATCAACAGACACGCTGCTCACACCTGTCACATGTGATCAACAGACACGCTGCTCACACATGTCACGCGTGATCAACAGACACGCTGCTCACACATGTCACGCGTGATCAACAGACACGCTGCTCACACATGTCACGCGTGAGCAACAGACACGCTGCTCACACATGTCACGCGTGAGCAACAGACACGCTGTTCACACCTGTCACGCGTGATCAACAGACACGCTGTTCACACCTGTCACGCGTGATCAACAGACATGCAGTTCACGCCTGCCACGCGTGAGCAACAGACAAGCTGTTCACACCTGTCACGTGTGAGCAACAGACACGCTGTTCACACCTGTCACGTGTGATCAACAGACACGCTGTTCACGCCTGTCACGTGTGAGCAACAGACACGCTGTTCACGCCTGTCACACGTGATCAACAGACATGCTGCTCACACCTGTCACACGTGATCAACAGACCACTATAAACAAAATCAACCAAGAACTCCTAGCTGCCAATAAAGTAGATAACAACATGTGGCTATCGCAGGAATCTCTTTAGACCAGCAGGTATTAGCAAGTCATTAACATGTTTCAGCCTGTCTCTGCCGAGCGCCTTGCGAGCGGCGAGTCGAGCCATGTGCTGTAGAGGGAGAGGCTGGTGTCCACACGTCAACAACAAGTCGTGAAGAAGCGTGCCCTTAGGCACCAGATCAATGGCACGCTTGTCGCGCCTGCTCAAGTTTTTTTCCAGAGTAATTTCAAACAATTACACAGTACAGAATGAATAGCTCCTAGGTTAATTAGTACTGATAATGGTTCAATTCAAGGTTCTATGTCCAGAATTATCACATATCAAAAATCAAGAGAAAATAATTTCACAATTCGAGTCAGAAAATTATACAAGTATGCTTAGGAATCAATGAATTGATATGGATAATCTCTCACCAGTTGGTTAGGTTGATATCAGCACCATAGCTTATCAGCGTCAGAGCACAATCATAGCTCTGACTATTCTCTGCAATTAGGTGTAGGGGTGTGCGGTGGTATTGGAGGCAGTTGGGGTTGGATCCTGCAGAAATGAAAAAAATAGTTAACTGTGTTTTGAGAAAGTCCTTTCCAATGATAGTTAATGCGTACAATTTAGTTCCTCCCAAAGTCCAATAAAAATGCTCATTGAATTAAATTAGCCCAATGCTGGTTTGATATTCTGTTTGTGATTAACTGTGCTGAGGCATGGACTAATTTTGGCCAACATAAAGTCAAAATAGCTCTAATAGACTTAATATGGGAACCATTTTTCCTGCAGCACCACTCACCTCATTGCAGGAGTATCTCATTAACAATTTTTTTCTGCTCCACCACTCACCACTTTGCAGCAGCAGCTCAATAACACGTAGGTTAGGTTCCCTCTTGGAGCAGGCAGCATGAAGAGGTGTTCCGTAATGGCTGTCACTGCACGATATGTCAGCTCCGTGATCCAACAGCAACCGAACTACTTGCAAACAGTTCTCTAAAGGGATATGAACAGAGTATCAGAGTTCTGATGGAGTGGTTCATTATTTACACTTTAATGTAATTTTAACACAAAATTATGTTTAACAACATTAGTGACAAATTGAGCACAAACATGTTTAACAAAAAATCATATAATACAACAAGTGTAATAATACTGCCATAGTACCATAGTAAAATGAAAATAGAGAAAATTAAGAATCATACCTATTTTATTTTTATTATTTTCTTGAAAGATATTTTCAATCCCTTACCTGGATTGGCACTACTTCTGATGCAGGCCTCATGCAATGGAGTAGATAGCAGAAGAGGTGGGTTGACGCGCGCTCCATACTTTAGCAAAAGCGCTGCTATCTCAGGATGGCAGCCAGCAGCTGCCCCACACAGTGGTGTACTGCCCTCCTGGCAAGTAGCCTCTACCTAGGGAACAAAACTGGAAAATAACTTTGCATCTTTAGATCAGAATTTAAAGAGAATTTGCACTGTGTGATTTTTGAACCAACAATATTCCTAATTTTTTAAAACCACAAAGTTAAGAGAAAACAATGTTGATGCTAAATTTGACACATTCAATTGTTCCAAGATCAGTTTATCACCAGATTTGTAATTGGCATCAAATAAATCCTTTCAATTAGACGCATCTCAAACCTTTGTGGCTTGTGAATTATTTTAGTTTTTTACAGTTTTAGTCATACTTAAAATGTAGTATTTACAATTAATGGAAAAAAGTAGGAAGAAAATGAGAAAAGTTTACATTGCATGAAAATATCAAGTGCACCACTTACATTTGCACCATGATCAATCAGCAGCTTTACAATATCAAGGCGTCCAGCCAGGCAAGCCATATGAAGAGGTGTAACACCATCATAGTGCGATTGATCAACTTCCTTGTAAGTTTCTAGAGCTTCCCTGACAAGCTCAACGTTGCCAAAAATAACAACATCGTGTAGAGGAAACATTGATCTCTCTGGGGTGTGATGAGAAGGTCATGAATCCTCTGTAAAATATTCAAATATTCCATAATTTTAGAAAATAATTTTGTTTCAAAGAAAGCTCAGTGCAATTGCAGCAATTCTAAACAAATATTGTTGAATGAAGATTCATTGATGAAGTGATTCCAGCACCCAGAGACTGGACTTCTGACCAACGCAAGTTAAAAATTTCCATAATTTAATTTTAGATCAAAGACAAATAATAACCAAAAATTCTTATATTCAATGTTAAGTTAACTCCTAATAAATAACATAAAATTCAACAATTTTTGAGATTTCATATTTAGAATAAAGTATATATAACTTTACAAATGTCCAAGTACCAAAAATGGCAAAGTTGCCATTTTCTATAAGTTGGCTGAGCAATACAAAACAACATCCACATATTCAATACAACAAACACCAATTGCGATTTACAAAGTAAATTAAAAATAAAGAATTGAATAAAATACCTTACTTACTTCCATAGGTTGCAAAATCCATCAATGCAGCACAGACCACAAGTTATGACAAGAGAGTTGGGATCTTGCTGTCACTTGCACTGTACATTGATCAAGGCAGGATGACATGTGATGCCATCTTGCAATACATCATAGAGACATTATTTATAGAAATGTTTTGTGGACCAAAGAGAAATTTAAAAACAATTTAAAATATGCTGCAATTCATATTACATTTTATAAAATTGTATAATTATCAATTGTTAGGTATTATTGATTATCAACAATTACAACAATTCAACAAATAAACTTGTGGCAAAGTAATTTGATTCTATATTAATTTTATTTTGTGGCTGTAACTCCTGGAAAAAAGTTCACAGATAGATTTCTTTACATGCTTGTAATGGGGAAATTCATGTGATGCAAGTTTTCACATTTTAGCTACTTGAAAATTTTCATTTTAGGTGATGAATTACACTTGTACAACAGAGCATGGAAATCTGGGGATACCGCTTTAATGATGAATTAGTAGCATCAAGTTATCAACACATATCTAGTTCTTTACATTACCATTAGAAATCAATCTCAAGTCAAGAGACTCTTGTAAACCATACATTTGATTTATTTGAGTCTGAGGCCCACCCTGCCCCTGGCCCCGCAAAATGCTGTGAATGTTCTGCAATGTTAAGAATGGGCAACAGGTCTATCACACCGTCTACGTCTATGACCTACTAAAATGCTGAAACCGCTATTACTATTATTATTATTGGTTGTGAAAGCAGTTTTGATTTTGATTCATTTATTTATTCACACAGGAGCACACGTTTCAATGAAATGTAAAAGAGACGTGAACTCGTGAACTCGCAAGGCCTCCATTACCAGGTGAATGCCCATTAGCAGCCCATATAAGCTAAAAACTAAAAAATCTTTGCAGGCAACAGTTGCAACACAATAGCCAATAGCCTTAGGTACTGTCAGTCTGCCACCGTACCTACAGGCTACCTACAATTAGTGTTATTAGCCTCCCAGCTTGTAAATCGTAACCTCGTATGGGCTAGGCTAGATGAGGTTTGGCTAGGGCAAAATGTGAGCTTAGCCTATTCGTGATATGCGTGTGCCATTGCCGGCAAGAGTTTGTCAGTTTGTGGTTTGAGAATGGCTTTTCACGGCTTGAGAAAAAGGCTTACAGCTCGAAAATTTGTTAGTTCGTGGCTCAAAAAATCCAGTCGCGGCTCACAGAGTAGGCTAGATGTTTTCTTCCCCTGTGCCGGAGGCTAGCTTTGCCATACTTCACACTTAGTTCATATTCCTTTCCATAGATAAGAATGGCCTAGAGGCTAGAGTGCATAACGATGGCAGACGGCCTATGAATAATGAAGTCAAGTGCTGATTCAAAGCCATGTCCACAGCCACAAAATAAGAGAGCCAAAGGTAAACATGGCCATACTGCATGACTGCATCTGCCAGTGCCAGATGCCGCAGTGGTTGTTTTAATGTTTTAACTGCCAGATAGCAGTTAAAACATTATTCCCTAGTCCGGCATGCACCCCATCATATTGCAGCTAGCTACCTAACTAAATATTGACGGGACGCCTGTCGGAGACCACCACTGCCGTGCTTCGAATGGACTATCATGATCCCTTCCCTGAAGAACGTTGCCTACCTACAACACTTCTTGACAGTAACATTATCAGACTCACACCACCAGACAGATCACATCTATTGAATTAGATCAATCAGCCCACAGGAAAATAGCCTGACGTCGTATGGCCCAGCGTCGTCTGCCCATACGGGAAAAAATTTTACACCACAGGGACGGAGCGCGCCGGAGCCGTCCGTATCTGTCCCGTGTGTCGAATCAGCCTACGGTCAAACGACCACGCGTCGTACGACGATAAATTTTGAGAACTATGCTATCTGGAACCTAACCC